TACGATAGCCCAATGAAAGGAAAGTTAGTTACCCCTTTGAGCACAGCACAACTTTGTTACAATTTTTACCATACTTTTTATTAATGGATCAGTCTTTCAAATCTGTGAATTTGTAATAGGTAGTCCCATCTCCTGCAAATTAACAAGAAAAAATGCACAAATTTCAAAGACAAGGTTGAAAATGTTGGCAGAGGTTTTTCAGTATAATTTGTCCTGTGTTTCCAAAATCAGTCAAGTAAATAAAAATTTCCTCTACCCAGCCCAAAACTTCACTACTCCCGAGCAGCTCTTACTGAAGCTGTTGCTCATCTTTGAGGTGAAAGAATCTAAGGGCACAGTCGCTTACTGTAAACACTTTAGGAAAGAAAAAAAATCTTTGAGAACTGATGGAACATCTGAGTTATAGGAAGAACCCCAGAAAATGATACAAGTGCTGTAGTGTAAAGGATTAAATTGATTAATGAATTTGATTTTTTAAATCCATTAATGTAGAGAAAAATCTGAGGATAAAGAGAAACTAATTATAATGAAATCAATTCTTAAATTATCTTTTTTTTATTTTAAATTTAACATTTTGGGAATGCTGGGTGATTCCATGGAACTCAAGGAGCCAGGGAAGAAAACATGTAGAGAAGGGAGATTTACATTCCAATTGGATATTTCTCGTTTGTGAATGAGGCAAAGGATTTAAAAGATAAACAGTAAGTGCTGGGTAACTCATTTACTGACAGAAGTGGGCTAGGTAGGTTTGACTTTACTGTTTCTTCTACCCCTGTAACTCTGTGCTCTGGACTTCTGGCCCTGGATCAGTTCTCAGGTAGGTCCTATAGCTTTTATTGCTGCTTTTAGGAACAAGAACAGTCTTGTCAGTAATTGAAAAGTTCCATCTATTTGAATATAAAATGAAAGTTTGTATCCAGTTTACAACTTGAGCCCTCCCCAGCTTGAGCCTGCAGTGTGAAGCAGCTGCCTCCCGCATTGGTCTGCCCCTCCCTGATTGGCCAGCTCCCACTGCAGACCTCTCTAGAGTTGAGCCCAGGGAAAGATGACCAGAGTAGACAGGTCCAATGGAGTTGGTGCTGTTGTCAGGTGGCATTGGGTCTGTGTAGCAGTTGTACTGTTGCTGCCTCTTTCTTTCTCGGGGCCTTTTTATAGTTTTCTTAGCCTCAGGCTGGGAGCTTCTCACCATAGTTCTTTTGACACAAGTCTTACCACTTCTGTTGTCTGCTCCCCCTGGCTGACCCTAAGCCTCCCTCCAGATTCCCCTTCCCCCATTCCCTAGCCCTGGGTTTCTGATCTCTGCTCAGACATTTGCCTTTCTGGAAAGTCCCTTTTTAAGATGGCAGACAGTAGGCTCATTCATGGAGCCCTTATATAGCCTTGTAGGGAGCACAATCCTTGGTGTCACCCTGAGCGGAAGCACATGTCTTTTCCACGTAGCCCTTTCTCACACTCTCAGCTCTGTCACCAGGAAAATGTGTCCCTCAGCAACCTCTAGGGGACACTTGTCAAGCTTCTACATGGTTTCTTGAAGCCCTCATCACTCGGCTTCTGAAAAGGGAGAATCTTCTCTTTCTCCCTGAAAGTGCTCTCCAAAGGAATTCTTTACTTAATCCGTCTAGAGGTATGTGATAGGCTGTTGCTGATAGAACTGGTTTCACAGTTTTTTTTGTATATCCTGCATAGTTGACTCAGCACTTCACTTTAGAATGTGAAAATATTTAGCATCCTCTGAATTATGGATTTATACATCTAACTTTGGGACCTCAACCAAAACTCTGAGACAGAGGAGAGCCCATTTTCATATACTCAGATAATTAAAGTCAGTTTCAGGTATTTTGTTTCCTTCTTTTGATTGTTCCTTTCAAACCTAAATTTTGTCTCCCCAGTTATTACCTTTGATCTCATCAATATGGATCTCATAAGGCGAGTTATGATGGGGACCTTCAATACTGGTGGCGGTTTGTTGGATCCCTTCTCACAGACTCTGGGAAGCTTGTTCACAGGCAGTGAGGGAAGGAGCCACAGGTGGTGGGTGTGCCTGGGACCATTGTCTGTTCAGTCCGCCTGCTGAGGGCACAGGGACTGTCATCTGCAGGACTTCTGAAGCAATCCAGGACCTTTTCTTCTACCCACTAAAGCACAGCACAATCATGTTTGAAAACCAAAGCTTCAGTATGCAGTAAACACTGATTTCTGCCTGTGTTAATTTTTTAATTTATAGTTTGTGTGGCCATTAGAGGAAATAAGATTCAGATTTATAACCAAATGATCACTCTCCTTTTAATAACTAAATATAAAAACTAAGCATTGCTCTCATTAAATGCTACCTAAAACTCTTCCTTTCTTGATTTGTTATCTTATCTAGCAGATTTTAAAACCTAAGAGGAATTTTGAAACTCAACAATTAGCAAAAGAGCTCATGAATAATTAAATTCCTCTAGAAATCCTCATAAGAGACCATTTACTTGTTCTTGGAATCCATATGCTAGTGAGTAATGGAATATACTTGCTGTACAAGCAAATAGGCATTCAGCTACTCACAGGAAAAGATGCTCAATGAGAAGAGAGAGGCAGAAAATTTCCCACACTAATTCCTAGCCCAGAAAGATCCAATTTTATCCCATGGTTTCCATATGTCAGTAACGCAATCTGTTATGTTGCAGTTGAATTGGGAAGTTCTCAACAAATAATTTTAAGATTTAGTCATTATTTCCTGAGGTTCACTAAACTAGTAATACTGCAGACTAATGACTCAATTTTGTTTTAATTTCTTTGTTCAAATTCTTAATACACATAGATTGTGCCCTATTACATAACACTTAATGTGGGAACATTCATTCTCAAGGGACGATTGTGGTTCTAACTCTATATAATTATTATTGAGTGCCTTAAAATGGGAAACTGGGAGGTTTTGTATAATTTCTATAATTAATTTTAAAACAGCATTTTATAACATGCTTTTCAGATAAAGTGTTCGTATTGGGAAGGAAAAAAACCTTAGCATCTCTTAGAGAGGCTTTTATTTTCCAGCTTCATAATTAGGATAGTTCCATCACAGTTATGTGCCAACACAGAGAATGCCTTGCAAGGCTGCCCTCCCAGAACGTTCCAATTAAAGGAGGTGAGGCCCAGTAGAAAGTATCCTGTTGTGAAAGTTTTGCCAGATCATAACTTTTCTCCATTTACCTCATCCCCCTCCACACATAGACCCAGTTCATGAGCAATTCTGAACAAGCCTAATTCCAAAACAAAACTGGGTGTAGCTACTTGGATCACCTTAGTTCAACCCACCATTGTCTTCCTGTGACCATATCAAGAGCTTCCCTCCCCATGGATCCACAGATCTGTCTGCATAGGGCAGGCAGAGAATCTTTTATTTCCTTACACTAAAACCAATCAGCAGCTTTCCACTTGGAATAAATCCTATCTCCTTACCAGGGCTCACAGACCCTGCCTGATAGAGCCTTACTGCTCGGGCTCATGGCATTCTCACCCATGCCACCCTCCTTCCTGTTATCTCATCCACCCAAGGTCTTCTCCACCTCAGAACTTTGCACTTGTTCCTCCGCCTGAAATGCTCTTCCTCCAGATCCTGAGGAACGCTCTTCCTCTGAGGGTTCCTCCTTATCCCTCAGAGTTAACTCACATGTCAGAGAGGCCTGCCTTGACACTGTCTCCAGCAGCCAACCCCTTAGCTGAGTTATTTCACATCTCCCGTTTTAAAACCCCATCATATGTCTCCCAATCAGTAATAATGCCTATTTGTCTGCTAAAATACCTGCTCTGTGACGCTAGGGGTGCCGTATACCTTGCTCATTGCTGAATCCCTAGTACAAACACAAGTGCTAATTGTATGGGCTCAGTAAAGATTTGTTAAATGGAGAGGAGGAGGGGAATGAATGTTGTACGTAAACACTGTGTATGTATTGACTTTTTTCCAATGTTCAATTACTGTTGAACCTACCAAGCTACATCTCTTGCCATGTTTTAATTATGTAAAACCGGTGTATTTCCTCGTCAGTTTAATGTGATTGCAGTTGATTTGTGAAAGCTCTATTTCTGATTATAAACCTGAGATCATATGAAGTATCATTTTGAAATAGTTTACTTTCACCGTCTCCTTTTTTGCATGGGGAACTTTAGGGTCAAATCTAACCCTAAACTCACCCATATATATGAGGCTGACTTTTAGCCAGAATGCTGAATTACAATATTGAGGGATTTCTGTATGGTGTTAATCAGTGCCTGCTTGCTATCACCGTGAGCCCTTTCCCCACTTTGTTGGAAAGTCCCAGTGAGAACTGCAGGAGATGGGCCAGGGTGTCAGGTCTGGGTACTATCAGGGAAATGATACTAAAACACTGGGATCCCAGTGAGCAAAAGCCTTGATGTCCATCTGTCCCCACACAGCCATAGCTGCCTCCTCACAGCCACCCCTTTATGGCTGCTTTAGGGAAATGCGTCCTACACAGTGTGACATTTTTAAGTAACCTCGCCAGCCGTGTACCATTTGTGTTTAATACTCTGGTGTTGCTTAGTCTTTTCCCCTGAATATTAAAATAAGATTTTCCTACTTTCTCAATATAGATACATCATGCTTTCTTTAACTGATGTGTGGATAATCTCCCTCAAGAAGAGTTGAAGTTACCATACTGTAATTTCAATATCATCTTTACAGAGAATAATCTCATCATCGCTGTTATGCTTTTCAATACTGCAGTAATATCTATAGTAATTATTTACCTATTAGAGTACAGATAAACTTGGTTCTAAAAACCTAGTTGTTTATATATACAAATTTTTAGAAACTTAGCCATGACGGGTCAGCTGAGGAACATGCCTTGATGCTCACTTACTCCCCTGCTGCTTTGGTGCATACTAGAGGATGTTTGCTGTGATTATGTTGAGGGTGGGATGTAGGGATTCATCTTTAATTTTCACTTCTTTGGGCTGCATTTTTCTTACCTCTGTATTTCTGCTGTCTTCAAATGACACAGAGTACGTTTCCTGATGGGTGGACGTCATGGAGAGTTTAAGTTCCTGCCTCCCTCGGGCTATGCCCCTTGCTATGAAGCCTTACTTCCAAAAGAGAAGATGAGATTGGAGCCTGTCAAAGAATATAAACGTGATGCTGATGGTGTTAGAGATCTCTTGGGTACCACCCAGTTCCTCTCCCAAGCCTCTTTCATCCCATGTCCCATAGACACCAGTCAGGTAGGTTCAAATTGCCAGCAAAAGGCAACTGATAAAGATGAAACAATAGAGCTAAATACTTCTTTCTTTGTTGTCTTTAAACCATCCTTAATATACATGCTCTAGAATTATTGTGTAATGTGAGGAACTATCACTCTTCACATTTTCACCATGTGCATCGATGGAGCCCTTAAGGATTTCTCAATCAGTAAACATGTTGAGCACCTGCTACATGTGCGATGTTCTGTGAAGGACAGACAGAAATATTTCTGTATTCTCTGGGAATTCTCAATCGAGTTAAAGATGTAAGAAGCAAATGTATTATTTTTGAAAGGCCAAATGTAATAAATGCAAAATGAACAGTATGCACCAGTAAATGCTAGAGAAATCCTTTAGGCTAGAATGTTTTCAGAAGTATGTGTAGTAAGGGTGGAATTCATTTACAGCCTTTAATAAGCTTAAATGGGGAGAGTCTCCAGGGGTGATACGAAAGAAATGGTATAAATAAGGGCCTAGAAGTAGAAACACAAAGTAGAAGTATAGACAGGTGGCAATGCATATTCTCATACGGCTTGGCTGTTAGAAGAGAGAGGAGCGTGTAGGAGAAGAGTTAGAAAATAAAAGGGAGAGAAACAGGGAATAGCATGGAGGGCTTTGAAAGTGCTGATAAATGGACATTTTCTTTTCCCTTCAGGGTCTGTATTTTGAGAGAGACACATTCATATGGTATTACAAGGGGCGTGCAAGAGCTTTCAGCATTTTCTACACAGCAGGGGTATTTGAATCACTATTCTAGATGTTGTAGAAAATAAATGACAAGAGACCGTGCCTCTAAGGCACTTGGGGTTAGTAATTTGCAAGTATGGCTCTTTTAGCCTGGAGACTTTCTCTAGGATGTGTTTTTCCCATAATATTCATATGACCCTGTTACATTTATCTATGCGTATGCATTCCTGAGTTTGCTTCTTACCTCCTGTGGCTAATAACCATGTATTAGTCCATTTTCATACTGCTATAAAGAACTTCCTGAGACTGGGTAATTTATAAAGAAAAGAGGTTTTGTTGACTCACAGTTTTGCATGGCTGGAGAGGCCTCAGGAAACTTACAATCATGGCAGAAGATGAAGAAGAAGCAAACACATCTTCACAAGGCAGCAGGAGCCAGAGAGCGTGCGAAGGGGGAAGTGTCACACTTAAGCCATCAGATCTTGTGAGAACTCTGAGGACAGCAAGGGGGAAGGCCACCCCTATGATCCAGTCACTTTCCCCAGGCTCCTCCTCTGACATGTGGGAATTACAATTTGAGATGAGTTTTGGGACGGGACACAGAGTCAAACTATCACTTCTGATAGCATTTCAGTATTTCTCTGCCTGCTTCATAGAGCACCTTGATATGGGGGATGAGAATGTTGATAGGAAATTGAGAGGGGGTTGTGAACTAGAGGAGATCCTAAGAATTAGATCATCTGGGTCCTGTGTATTCTAGATGTCAGGGAGGAAAAAGTTTTCTTCTACCCTCCTAGGCTCTGATTTTGCAGTCTTGTGAAATAAACTCAGATGGACAGATTTACAAGGAGAAAAAAAAACAGATTCTAATCACCTCATAGGGAGTTCACAAAGAAACGTAAGTCAGGGAGGAAGTTAGAATTTGACACTTACATACCATCCTAATAGGGAAAGGAGATGGGGAGAAAGGCACTTCTGGGAAAATAAATGTCTTGGGGAAAGATAAATGATTCCTTAGGAGAACAGATATGAGATAGAGTCTGATTAAGTGTGGTGCTGACCTTTCTCTGGCGGTAAGGGTCCATCTCCCTCAGAAAAAAATTGTTGAATTCTTTTGGGGGGCTTTTTTTAAGGCAGATAAGAGAAGTCCAGAAAAAGTCCCATTCTGTATCAAAGTCTTCAACACAAAATAATCCTTGTACTACTGTGGCATTTTCTGGGCTCTTTCATAGACAAGAAGTGTGAGGACTACTCTCTGCATGCTTGGGCACCAGCAGCCCTCCACGGATACAGGTGCCAAGTATGGAGAAAGTGAAAGCATGAGTATGACTGCCGTCTGGGCTGCCTTTCCTGACTTAAGTAAGCAGAAACATGTGTGTTATTCAGACAAGGCTTTCTAGAAGATGCTGGCCTCCACAAGAGTTCAAAAAAATGAGGTCAAGTTTTGATATGGGAGGAAAGAAGGTGTTGAACAAGGAATGAGAAGAGTACTCTAAACATACAGAATTGAAGATTTGGAAATCAAAAAGTAGAGATAAATCCACAATCCAAAAGAAATTTCATGTCTAGACACAAGGCTGAATTTGCATGGACCCTGAAACTAGGAAAATTTTGCTGGAAAATCATATCATAGGGAAATATGCAAGGTGCAATTTATTATCTTGAATAAGAACTTATAATTTTTTAGAATCTATCATTCTTTGAAATTACTGTGAAAGAAGTTAAATATAAGATACTCACATAGTCAACTCTCCATTCTCCTTGGGGCACATTAACCAATTTGAAGATTAAGCATCTTCAACTAGAGCTCTTAATGCATGGCCTAACCAGAGCCCTGTCTAGGGTCTGCCTCAGCAGTTTAATAAGCACAAGGATGAAAAACCTGATATGGGTTGGCTGTGCATGCCCACCCAAATCTCATCTTGAATTGTACTAATCTACACATGTCATAGCAGGAACCAGTGGGAGATAATTGAATCATGGGGGGCAGGTTTTTCCCATGCTGTTCTCATGATTGTGAATAATTCTCACAAGATCTGATGATTTTATAAAGCAGAGTGTTCCTGTACATGCCCTCTTGCCTGTCACCACATAAGATGTCCCTTTGCTCTTTGTCTTCTGTCATGATTGTGAGGCCTCCCCAGCCATGTGGGACTCTGAGTCCATTAAATCTCTTTCCTTTATAAATTGCCCAGTCTCAGGTATGCCTTTATTATCGGCATGAGAACAGACTAATACAGTAAATTGGCACTAAGAGTGGTGTACTGCTGTAAAGATACCCAAAAATGTGGAAGCAACTCTGGAACTGGGTAACTCACAGAGGTTAGAACAGTTTGGAGAGCTCAGAAGAAGATAGGAAAATGTAAGAAAGTTTGGAACATCCTAGACTTCTTGAATGGCTTTGACCAAAATGCTGACAGTAATATGGACAATAACGTGAAGTCTGAGGTGGTCTCAAATGGAGATGAGGAACTTGTTGAGAACGGGAGCAAAGGTCACTCCTGCTATGCAAAGAGACTGGCGTAATTTTGCCCCAGCCCTAGAGATCTGTGGAACTTTGAATTTGAGAGAGATGATTGAGGGTATTGAGGGAAGACATTTCTAAGTAGTGAAGCATTCAAGAGGAAGCAGAGCATAAAAGCTTGAAAAATTTGCAGCCTAATGTTGCAATAGAAAAGAAAAACCCATTTCCCTCAAGAAATTCAAACCCACTGCAGAAATTTGCATATGTAACAAGAAGCCAAATGTTAAGCACCAAGACAATGGGGAAAATGTATCCAGGGCATGTCAGTGATCTTTGCAGCAGCCCCTCCCAGAGGCATAGAAGGAAAAAAAATGTTTTCTTGGCTGGACGCAGGGCCCCCTTGCTTTGTGCAGCCTAGGAACTTGGTGCCGTGCAACCCAGCCACTTCATTCCAGCTGTGGCTAAAAGGGGTCAAGGTACAGCTCAGGCCATGTCTTCAGAGGATGCAAGCACCAGGCCTTGGCAGCTTCCACATGGTGTTGATCCTGTGGGTGCACAGAAGTCAAGAATTGAGGTTTGGGAACCTACACCTAGATTTCAGAGGATGCATGGAAACACCTGGATGTCCAAGCAGAAGTTTGCCGCAGGTGTGGGGCCCTCATGGAAAACTTCTACTACAGGGGTAAGGAAGGGAAATAAAGGGTTGGAGGCCCCACACAGAGTCCCCATGGGGACACTGCCAAGTGGAACTGTGAGAAGAGGGTCACTATCCTTCAGACTCCAGAATGTTAGATCCACCGACAGCTTGTACCATACACCTGGAAAAGGCACAGACACTCAACGCCAGCCCACAAAAGCAGCTGGGAGGGGGGCTATACCTTGCAAGGTCACAAGAGTGGAGCTGCCTGAGGCCATGGGAGGCAAACTCTTGCATGAGCATGACCTGGATGTAAGACATGAAGTCAAAGGAGACATTGTTTTGGAGCTTTAAGATTTGGCTGGATTTTGGACTTGCGTGGGGCCTGTAGCCCCTTTGTTTTGGCCAATGTTTCCAATTTGGAACAGGTTTACTTACCCAATGCCTGTACCTCTATTATATCTAGGAAGTAACTAACTTGCTTTTGGTTTTACAGGCCAATGAGCAGAAGGGACTTGCCTTGTCTCAGATGAGACTTTGGACTTGGACTTTTGGGTTAATGTTGGAATGAGTTAAGACTTTGGGGGACTGTTGGAAGACATGACTGGTTTTCTAATAGGAAGATATGAGATTTGGGAGGGGCCAGGGTGGAATGAGAATGGACTAACACAAGGCCCCACTTCCAAGCAGCCTACTTAGGATCCCCAAGAGATAATTATCAAGCCAATGTTACTCTGTCAGGTAGTCACCAAATGAGGTAATGGAAATTATGATTTAGGGTTATGTGTGGAGGTTCTGTCCACAGCAACTGCATTTTCCCCTTTCACTGAAGCCTTGTGGCTCCTCTGGCCTGCAAATGCACTTTCAGGCTATGATCAGCTAAAGAGAACTTTAGTTTAAACAAATTCTTAATTAACCAATAAAATCCCAATATAGTTATAACTTGACAATTTTGCCCCACTTTGTTCCTTCTCAAAAACATGCCGCTTTCAGTTGGCCCTATGTCTGTGGATTTTGTAACTGCAAATTCAGTCAACCACAGATTAAAATATATATAAGAAAAACACATTTTAAAAATGTAGTATTATAATCATTTACATAGAATTTACACTGTATTATGAGTAGTATAGTGATTATTTAAAGTATTTAATTTATATGCAAATATGCCATTTTATATAAGGGACTTGAACTTCTGTGGATTTTGCTATGTGGGAGGTGTCCTAGAACCAATCATCTGCAGGTGCAAAAGGACAACTGTGTTAACTCTGACTTTTCAATAATTAGGTTTGGCCAGGCATGGTGGTTCATGCATGTAATCCCAGCACTTTGGGAAGCCAACTGGGGAGGATCACATAAGCCCAGGAGTTCAAGACCAGCCTGGGCAACATCAGGAGACCCTGTGTCTACAAAAAAAATTTTTTTACATTAGCCAACCATGGTGACATACACCTGTAATCCCAGCTACTCAAGAGCCTGAGGTGGGAGGATTACCTGAGCCCAGGAGTTAAAGCTTGCAGTGAGCTGTGACTGCACAGCACTCTAGTCCAGGTGACAAGATGAGACGCTGTCTCAAAAAAATGCAACGGGCCGGGTGTGGTGGCTCACACCTGTAATCCCAGCACTTTGGGAGGCCAAGGTGGGCAGATCACCTGAGGTCAGGAGTTCAACACCAGCCTGGTCAACATGTCAAAACCCCATCTCTACTAAAAATACAAAAAAATTAGTCAGGCATGGTGGCATGCACTTGTTACCCCAGGTACTCTGGAGGCTGAGGTAGGAGAATCACTTGAACCTGGGAGGCAGAGTTTGCCGTGAGCAAAGATGACACCACTGCACTCCAGCCTGGGAGACAGAAAAAGACTCCATCTCAAGAAAAAAAAAAAATAAAAAAAGGTAATAATAATGATTAGGTTATGTTAGGTTTTTAAAAAGTCTTTAAGACACATAATAATTATAGCACATTGTAAATATTGTTGCTTTTCTCTGTGATGTTCTTATATATCACAGATGTGATGTACTTTTTGTACAAAACAATATTTTTTCCATAGACACTTATAATCCCCCCAAAAGGGATTTTTTTAATAGTGAAACTTTAAATGGTAGAAACACTGTTAATTATTATAATAGAGCAGGGACTGCAGGGGCCAGGCAGGTTATGGAGAGGTCAAGCACGCAGGTCCTCCTGAAATTGATAGTTAGTTCTCATCTGACAGATGCCTGCTCCATCTGACAGATGCCAGGCAAAGGTATGGGTCAAATATTAGCCATCTTCTAAATTGTCAAAAGAAACTAGAAATCTGGAGTTTTATATGAAATCTACCATTTCTTAGGGATTGTCAACCAATAAAAATGAAAATAATAATTTTTTAAAACCTGAGGGGGGGGCAGAAAACCTGGGCTCCCAGTTTGTGACCTCTGTGGAGAGATAGGAGCAAGATACCAGGAAAATAAAGAGGAACTCTCCCTTTAGTAATCAGGGAGACTTCTCAAAAGTGGTGACATTTGAACTAAATGCAGGAGGGTAAATGTTGAAGGTATTTGCTAGATGCTGAGGAAGGGTGTGTGTGGGTGTATGTGTGGGTGTGTATGTGTGTGTGATTTGCACAGTGGGAAGTAATAAGGATTAAGGTTGCATATGCAAGGGTACAGAACCGTGAAGCAGTGTGGTCTTTTGGGAGAATTTCAAGAAGTTTGAAAAGGATGTGTTTGTGGAGACTGTGATGAAAACTAAGGAAGAGCGCCGCATGTGTGGTTAATACATCCAGTCTTAGTGTCAAGGAACACTTGAGGGACACTAGAGAATGTTTTGATATGATTTTTTGTTGTAGATTCATCGTACTAGCTGCAGTGTAGAGGATAGATCAGTGGGGAGCTGGGGAGGCCAATAGGCTCTTGCAGTGGTCCAGGGAGAAAATAATGAGGTTGAGTGATGGAGAGAAGGGGATTCCTCAGAAGGACACTTAGGAAATAAACATGGTAGGTTTCCTGACTGATTAGATGAGGGAGTAGTGCCAAGGGAAAAACAGTAGGATGACTTACAGGCTTAAACAGGTAGTAGAGCCATTCAACAAAAAGAGAAAATAAAAACAGGAAGAGAAAAACATTTTGAAGGAAAAATAATGAATTCAGCTTTGGGTAACATATTGAGCTCACTTTAATGGAAAAATTCTGTAGAGAGCTGGAACCATGAGTCTAAACTTCAAGAGACCATGGTTAGAAATGGCCTGACTTGGGAGTGATCATCTACTGGGTGAGAGAGCATGGAGTGAGAGGAAATAAGGTGAGGCATGTGAAGAACATACAGCACATATACCTACAGAAAAGACTAAGAGGCAATGGTTAGAGAGGCAGCAAGGGGCAGAGAGGAAACCAAGAAAGGAAGAGGGAGAAGAGTTGGAAGCATGTGAGTCAGGCAGTGAGGTCACATACTGCACCTCCTCCTGGGTGATGTGCCAGTGAATTCAAGCGGGCGCCTGACTCCTATAGATTTTATGATAGGATTCAATACAATCAATTCTAATAGTCTGGCTTTTCGCTTGTTCCTTTTCCTTTAGGTGGTTTTGCCGCCTCACCTAGAAAAGATCCGAGACAGGCTAGCTGAAAACATCCATGAGCTTTGGGGAATGAATAAAATAGAGCTTGGCTGGACTTTCGGCAAGGTATGTGTCACAGTGGCCAGGCTGGGGTGGAGGGTAGGATTGCCTTGGTACCTGGAAGCTTTCTTCCTGCTGCATGCCTAGTTTTCATTGCATTCACTTGTTAGGTACAATGGGAAGACCAGGTCTTCACAGAAAGAACTAAGTCTGTCCCCCTTCTTACTCACAAATACTGGTTTCCTTTATTTGGGATATATCATTGATTCTCGGTACCCACTTCAAAATATTTGCATCCCTCCTTCAGAAAAAAGTTTTCCTCTCAGTGCAGTTAGTGAAAAGTGGCTGATTCACTGTTATGAATCAGAAGCTGTTTAATAGGGTTTTAAGATGTAACGCTAAGATTAATGGACACTCAGACGAGGTTAGGGAGTTTTTCACTAGAAATCATTTCTCAGAGAGGATGTAAATTGACTGTGTTCCATAATTTGTGTGAGGACATGTCTGAAGGCAGAAGGATAGGTGAGTTCTGAAGCTTCCTGTAAACCAGCACTCTCAAATGACACACATTCTAGCTTAGTTACTGACAAGGTCTCTGCACTCCCACACTTATGTATTTATATAGCTACCATAAAATATTCTCGCCACATGAGTATAGCTTCACTGTTGAACTCCTAATATCTAGCTCAGGGTCTGTCATGTACTAAGGGATTCAACAAATGTTAGTTGAATAAATTAATGAATTACTTAATGTCTAGAACTGTACTGTCTAATACAAAGTCATGAGTCACGTGTGGCTACTGAGTACATGAAGTGTGACTAGTTTCAATTGAGATGTACTTTAAGTGTAAAATAGTCACCAGATTTTGAAAATTTAGTGTGAAGGAAAAAGTAAAATACCTCATAAACAATTTCTTTTATCTGTTACTTAAATTGATTAAAATGATTATTTTGCATTTATTAGGATAAATAAAACACATGATTAATTTCAGCTCTTCTTTTTGACTTTCTAATGTGGCTACTGGAAAATTTGAAATTACACATGTGCTTCACATTTGTGGCAACTTCATGGTTCTTCTGGACAACAATGGTCTAGATTCTGTAGCCTGTCCTGTACTGAAGAATGTTCCTCTTCTGGAACGTTATGGTTACACGAATTTCAGAGGAACAAGATCATGGCTACCATATGTAACATTGCTTCTCTAGGAAAGTATGTTCTAAATGCAGATGCCTGTCTAGAAATAAATCCACAGAGCACAAACCACTGACAACTTGGAGACTGTGTGTCTCATTGACTAGAGAGATCATCTGTTTGCCTATCAGCAAGTTGCTGTCTTTGTGTTGCCTGATAGGGATTGCCTGGACCGTGTTTCAAAGTATGTTCTGTTCTGTTTTCCCATGCAGTGCCAGCTGTCAAAACTTAAATCACATTCTTTCTTATGTCACCACCTAGATACGAGATGACAATAAAAGACAACATCCTTGCCTTGTGGAGTTTTCAAAGCTCCCCGAAACTGAGAAGAATTATAACCTGCAAATGTCGACTGAAACCTTAAAGTGAGTATTTAATTGAGCTGAAGTTTTACAAACAGTGAGTAGATGATTTAATGCATTATAACTAAACTGAAAAGATATGTCTCTTGCCTGAAAACATGGCATATTCTAATAAATTAGAGGGGATGGTGATTGTTCATGTCACAAGAGGATTTAGCATAACCATCCACCATTATTATTGACTATATATATGTTTCTTAAGAAACCATTTGCTATTTGCTAGGGACAGAGAAAAGAATCAGAAAAAGGCCGGGCGCGATGGCTCAAGCCTGTAATCCTAGCACTTTGGGAGGCCGAGGCGGGTGGATCACGAGGTCAAGAGATCGAGACCGTCCCGGTCAACACGGTGAAACCCCGTCTCTACTAAAAATACAAAAAATTAGCTGGGCATGGTGGTGCGTGCCTGTAATCCCAGCTACTCAGGAGGCTGAGGCAGGAGAATTGCCTGAACCCAGGAGGCGGAGGTTGCGGTGAGCCGAGATCGCGCCATTGCACTCCAGCCCGGGTAACAAGAGCGAAACTCCGTCCCAAAAAAAAAAAAAAAAAAAGGAATCAAAAAAAGAAGAAACATAGAATCAAATAATCAGGTACCTTCCGCAGTTCACATTAAATAAAGGAAAAAAGATAAAGCATTTCTAAAACCCATTGGGAAACATGATTTGATTCAATCAAATTCAGTTTTGAAATAACTTTCGCTTCTCCATGATACTACCCATGGGCCTAATTTAGACCTTAACTTTTCTAGCCCAAATTGGTATGTCCCATTTTGAATTTTTTGAGGGCCTGTTCTCTTGTCTTTGTATTTCCCTGTCCTCTAGTTGTCACTGCAGAACGTTTTAACTTTGTGATTTTGTTGGCTTAACGATGCTCTGTAAGGTCCCTTGTCCAACAGGCTCACATGTGATGCCTTCAATTACGTTGGCGCTTCTCGAGGGTACAACTTCGTACTTCATGGCGCTAAGCACAGCTCATGCACTTATAGGCATCATGCAGTAAATATTTACTGACCTGTGGGCTGGATATCAGAATTCTGTCTGTTCCATAGAATTGGAAGCAGCATGTAATTCAAATGCAAATTTATCAACTGGAAAAACGTCTGCAAGAGGGGCAAGTAACAAACTTCTCTTTTATAATCTTATGCTTGCTGTCATCTAAACCAGGAGTTGGCAAATTATGGCCCATGGGATAATCAGACCAGCTACCTATTTTTGTTAGTAAATTTTTTATTATAACGGAGTAAAAGCTCATTGGTTTGCCTATTACCTATGGCTGGCTTTGCTCTGTAATGACAGAGTTGTAGCTGTGACAGAGATGTATGGCTCACAAAGCCTAAGGCATTCACTCTCTAGCCCCTTACAGAAAAAGTGTACTGAACCCTGGTCTAAACGAGTGGCTCTTCTCTGTTCTGAACTCAGACGTGAGTTAGGGTTCCTGCAATTGACCTTAGTCTTCTTCTGTATGTCACAGAACCCTCCTGGCCCTGGGGTGCCACATTGCCCATGTTAACCCAACTGCTGAGGATGATCTCAAGAAAGTCAAACTTCCCAAAAAGTAGGTGATTTTCTTAATGGTTCAAGATTTTAATGCTTCAGGCTGAATTTTTAACTCAGGAGGGTGGTACCAAGATGGACAACAGCCCACATCCTTGCTAGCACCAGCTCAGAAGGGCTCCTCTGTTTCCTAGATGGCACTGAAGCCCTCAGATAGAAGCCTGGTGAAGAAGTATTTTAGGGTTTTCCTTCTTTTTGCCCCTTCTACCTGGACCTCACACTAGTATTGTTGGTTTTGAGCCTGGAGGTGTGGAGCCCTCAGATGGATGCACTGTCTTTCTTCTATAAAAATAGCATTCAGCACAAAAGCTTAAAAATGGTTCACAGCCATGGCAGACAGTCACTCTGGCTTTGGACCAGCCTTATACATCCTTTGTGGAAGGGGTATCTCTGCCACCATTCATTTGGCCCCCTGGATTGCCTGTGTCCTCCTCTCCCTCTCTCCCGATACATTCAGATGGAGTTGCACACTTCTTGTCCTTGCACATTCAAATGTTTGCTCAATGGCACATCCACTGGCTCCCTTGCTTACTTGCTCTCATGCATGCCAGCAGACGTTTAGATGGATTCACACACAGGTGTCATCATTACTTAGGAGCCAAGCAATGCCAGCTCTAATCAAACGTTTATCTTCCCCTTCTTTCCACTTAAAACTCCCAAGCTCCACTCTGACACATGCAACTCCTCGTACCAAGCAAAGCACATGTGACAGGCTGCAGTGGAGGGACAGGCTGCTGGCCAAAGCTGCTGAGGTCAGGACGCAACAGTCAGTGCATGCTGACTCTGCCCACGAGCAGCGTCCTGAATAGGTGGATGCAGGACGTTATCTTACACCTACCTACGGTAGACCCTGGATCTCATGCTGCTCAGAGGTCCTGGATGGATGAAGCGCTGGTCTATGAGTCATCACTGTTGGAGTCTGGCTCTTATCTAGGCAGCCATTGGCCCTAGGGCCATAGCTACCTTTAAACTCAGATTCACACATAGCTATGACAAGCTGCTTTCCTGAGTTTCACTCCACAGTGTGTCCCAGTCTTCTCCATTTACACGGTATGTCTACCTAGAGCTCTTCTACTTCCTCCCATTATCAAGTTACAGAGATTTGATGCTGTGACTCTTGGACTGGACAGCTAACTGCCAAGATCACTTTAAGTTCAAAAATTATCTGACATCATGTTTTTTTTTAAATTCTGGAAGTAAAATTAGCTGTGTAGGCCTGAGTGATTATTCTGTGCTGATTTATAAGGAAAGATTTGACTCAAGGTCTTGTTCTTGCCAATCTGCTTTTGACTTTTTGTGTTTTTGTAGTGGGACGGAGGACTTCTGGTAATGTTGTAGCATGCTGGATGTACCCATTATTTGTAGAGAACAGAAGTAGTTTTCGTAGAAACAAAGATGGTTTGTGCTGACCATCTGCTTTTTCCAAGTCTTCTTTGAAATATGTTACATATGTTGGGAAGAAGGATGATAGAGTAGGGGCTTCATCTATAGACTTGAAACAGAGCTGAGCTTTTTGTTCAGCTAAAAAATGGAACCCGTGACTGTAGCCTCATTTGTGTAGCATTCTTACCATGTGCTCTTGGTCTAAAATCTGCAGTGAGAAACTCATAAAGATCTGTTAAAAATATATACTTTTACATTTACTTGTAGCTATATGATGTCAAATGGCTATAAGCCAGCCCCTTTGGATTTGTCTGATGTGAAGCTGTTACCTCCTCAAGAAATTTTAGTGGATAAGCTCGCAGAAAACGCACACAATGTTTGGGCAAAAGACAGAATAAAACAGGGATGGACCTATGGCATCCAACAGGTAAGAACTGCTGGGTCAGGCATGCTGGAAAAGTTAGAAGACAGAATCATCCATCCACATGCCGTTTTGCTTTGTCGTGTGTTAGATCAGAAGGAAGGGGTTGCCTTTGCCCTCTATTCCTCACACCTCAGTGTGTTCATTATTTATGAAATCATGAGGCTGGACAGAATTTGTAATGGTCACATCATAGCTAAGCAGTATTTCTGAGATGGTCCCATGGATCTACTGCTGAGGGTGAAATGGAGGGGAAACTAGTCCAGCAGAGCAGCGAACCAGCCTGCCCAAAAGCCTTTGCCTCCTTACTTCAGTCCATTGGGCCATGGATTGCTGGGCAGAGGTGCTGGTCTGAGCAGGAGGCAACTTGAAAGCCAGAGCACAGCAAGAAATTAGACAGAGTTTAACCTCAAACCACCTGGCATACCTCTTTCCTTCAGATATGGTATATCTCACCTTAGTAACCACCAGTGGTAGGGTTAGTATCAGGGAAGTTCAGGAGTGGCTGTGTGCACGTTAGTTAATTCATACTGGAGCCTTCAAACCTGCACACATCTGGAAGCCAGGAAGAACACAACTGTGGAAACTATGGGGTGGAGGGGAGGAGCGGGGAGTGAAGAGATTCAAAATAGCATGTTATATGTATGAGTTTGGGTGATTTATCACTACAATTGTTCCTACTGTCTTCTTAGTCCCTCCTAAGGAAATGAGAAGGACATTACTACAAATGTGTGTCCTTTGCCATAAAATAAACACACTGTGGCTCTGCCACCTTTTCTGATGTTTCTCTGTGAAGACTTGTTAAGCCATCATGAGAAGGCTATAGTCGCTTAAATCATAACATGACCTTCCATAGGGAAATCATTACACAAGTCTCCATCTGCCTTGCCTTGAGAATGGAGGTTTCTAAGCAGTTTTGTGATGTTTCATTTTATTCGCAGGCTGGTATTATTAAAAGTGTTTTCTAATGCTAGCTTTGAGCATCAGTAAAATGTTTCCATTTATACTCATTTAATCCCGAGAAGAAGTGGCAAATATGTACATTGGTAAATATGAAGGCACCAAGGGAAGAGCTAATAGACGTAGAGTAGCCGGAAAGCCAGGACTGCTGCTGGGAATATGTGAATAGGGTGAGCTGTGGTGACGGTGACATGTTTTCTTAGCACCTTTTTTCTCTGGCTTCACATAGGATTTGAAGAACAAACGAAATCCCCGTCTGGTGCCATATGCATTACTAGACGAGCGTACCAAGAAGTCAAACAGGGACAGCCTGCGGGAAGCTGTGCGCACCTTTGTTGGTTACGGGTATAACATTGAGCCATCAGACCAAGAACTAGGTAATGAGTTGAGAGTGTTTATTTTTCCCCCATTTTAGTAAACAGGTCCTCTTCTTGGGGTGTCCTAACTGCAAATAAGTCTAACTTGAATTATTGGAAATAGTATTGGGGTTGAAGAGCACTAAACTATATGGTGTGATTTTTTCTTTAACTGGGGAGACCGTGTTTGATATAAACCATCATCCCATCATCCCATTGACAGATTTTCTGCAATGACCACTTCTGTGACTTATTCCCACAAGGAATACGTTATCTTTTTAGGTGGCTCAGCTTTTCAGAATACCTGATCAAAAACCACGTCACTGTTTTTTTATTTCCAAATGTGTCAATATCAGCTTACTTTTAGATCAGGTAATCACATCTCCAAATTGAAGGCTTGTGCAGATTAAAATCAAGTTTTAAATTGATGAGCATGTTATTGTCATCCCACGTCCCAGGAAGTATTGTAGACCACAGGGGCAGAATTCTAAGTTGTTAAGGGGATGGTTTACGAGTCCAATCTGGATTCATAGCTTTGCTCTTCTGTTTATTGGCTCTGTGACCTTGAATAAACGATTTTACCTCTTTGAGCCTGAATGTCTTCATCAGTAAAATGAAGACAATATTACTTACCTTGTAGGACTACTGTGAGGGAAAACTGAGAAATGGTCTCCAAAGGGTCTACTGTGAAGCAGTCCCTCAGTCAGTGGTAGCTTGTGTGGTGATGATGGTGATGATCTATTATGAACAGAATGCTGTACTGGATAGTAGTCAGCCTATGGTCAGTCTTAGATATTGTCCTCAAACTCTTGTGAGTAGCACTACCTAATTATTAAAAGTTTATGTTTTCTCCCTCCCTTCCACACCTTCTGTTCACCTTCCTTCTCACAACAGCTGACCCGGCTGTGGAGAAAGTCAGCATAGACAAGATCCGGTTTTTTCGGGTAGAGCGATCTTATGCAGTGAGATCTGGAAAGTGGTATTTTGAGTTTGAGGTGGTAACTGGAGGAGACATGCGAGTCGGCTGGGCCAGGCCAGGCTGTCGGCCTGATGTCGAGCTGGGGGCCGATGACCAAGCCTTTGTGTTTGAAGGCAGCAGGGTGAGTCTATATATTTATATCATCCACACATCCTCAGACCACGTTTTCCTCCTCCTAACATTTTTCTGGAAGCTCAGATTACTGAGTGTCTGGATCACTGGCTTCAAAGTGAGTGGCCGCAACCACTGACTAATGTAGACGTTGAATGCGCATCACCCAGTGACTATTTCTTTGCTCTTCACTCTGTTGAAGGGGAGCATTGTGCCCCAAGTTCTTTCTACAATCACCTCCATATTTGCTCCGGTATCCAAGCCCATTGACTCCACTCCAGAGGTGACTCAAAGATCACCATGCAGCTGGTACATCAGGAAATCTGACCAGTTTTCCCTAGAGAGCATCCTGATTACTGTCATAGCTGTCACTAGAAATCAAGAGACTCGGGCCACCTTGTGAGTCTTTATTTCATTTATAACATAGACCACTCCTCCCTGTGAGTTATCCTTGAGTGCCCCATAGAAATTATGTACCACTAGTAGTTAGGAAATATTGCAGATATGGTTTCTCCAGCCACAGGGAATTCTAGGAACTCCATTTCTCTAAGCTCTAGAGTCTTGTTTTCTAGGGCCAGCGTTGGCATCAAGGAAGTGGGTATTTTGGGCGCACTTGGCAGCCAGGGGATGTGGTCGGATGTATGATTAACCTGGATGATGCTTCAATGATCTTCACGTTGAATGGGGAGCTGCTGATCACCAACAAAGGCTCTGAACTTGCCTTCGCTGACTACGAGATTGAAAATGGTAAATCTAATACCCTCTGCCAACCCCAGCTCCATGAGGCTAGAGAAAAATACAAGGAAAGCTGAGTAAGCTCCTCTACTTCCTTTTTTGGCCTACGTTGTCCTTTGCACATCTGAAACCCTAATGGTGAAAGCAATCCTTTAGAGTAGCAATTTCAAAGAATTAGGGGAGATAATGGTGATAGTAGGTATATGCAGTGTACCTATAAATTCTGAACTCTTAGGTAGGTTAACCAAGAAGATAATTCCCTGCCTTGTGTCTTGTCATTTAAAGGTTCTCCAGGTTTCCCAGTATTAGAAAATTATTATTGTACATGACTAATGTCCTTGACAGGAGAGAAAAATCAGTGAATTAAATAATTATCCTTTTATTCTGATTTGAATTGTCAGTCTGCATGTTTGTGTAATTGAACTTGATGCTTTGAAGAGAACCATTGAAATATGAAAGTTAGATTTAGCTATTTCCTTCAATGAAATAGAATTTATTTTGAAATTCAGACACATTGTGAAACCCAACAAGAGTTACACATATTAATGTTCATGAATAGACCACAGTCAGGGGAGTGCTTCCAGCTACACGAAGGAGGTACTGGAGCTTATTATTTCTTGTCTATATAACTACATTATATACACAAGACTATTGGTACATAGGGGAAAGAGTGTACTGCGAGTCAGTAGACTTGATCCTAACAAGCTCGGTGGCTCCCAAGGAGTCTTTGTTTGACCTCTCTGGCCTTTACTTTCTTCATCTATGTGAGAGAATAAAAGGATTGATGAAATAAAATCTCACATTCTTCCCAGATATAAAATTCAGTGGCAATGACTTAACACCTGCTGTGTGAATGCCCGTATGCCTGGTGCTGTGCCACACTCTGTTTCCTCCTCACTGACAAGACAGGCATTGTTCTGGGTCAGGAGACGTGGGCTCTCACCCTGCCTCTGTTCCTGCCTACCCAGGACATCTTAGTTGACCTTATTTACCATTTGGGGCCTCATTTTCCTCTCTGTAAATGATGAGAGCTCCTTGTAGCCCTAAATTTCTGAGACTTTACAAAAAGAAATATTTCCTACCTGGAAAGCTAAAATGATACAACTACACAGGCAAGAAAGCACAAATGCATGGACTGTGTGTATGTAATACACATGCTGTTTGTTTACAGAGCATTTTTAGCTTTATAAATGAATTTCACACTTTGTTTTCAGACACCTGTTGTCTATGATATGCATATTCAACTGTACCTTTCAAGGTTTTTCTAAGAGCCAAATATTTGGAGAAATAAAAAGGGTACAAGTCATGTATTTTCCTGAAGAGGCAAGTGACTAAAGTCAAATGGGGTCATATTTCAATGCCTTCTGAAAGGTTTAAAATCAAGGTTTTAAAGAAATAATTCTGTTTTTGGAGACAGGTGAGAATGACATTGCCAGAGGAAGGAATGGCTTGTGTGCTGGTTCAGAGGCAAAGGAGAGCAGTACTGTGGGTGGACATCAGAGCAGTATACCAGGACCACGAGATGCTCCCCAGCCACCCTCCTCATACAGTGCCTTTCTTCTGAGGCCAAAAGGAAAACAGCCTAGGAGGATTTAGGCACATCTCCAAGGAAAGTCATTCTCTGGGGTAGAAAGAGTCCAAAACTCAGGGCCTTTTCCCAGCCCTACTATTGTGTGAACTGGAAGAGGTTATTTGTCTATCGAACTCTAATGGGGAGATAAGAATCTTCTATGTTGTGCAGAGTTACAAGAACTTTGTAAAGTCCAAAGCCTTGATACTCAATGTATGATCTGCTTGTTAGAAATGAGGAATCTCAGCCCCACCCCAGACCAGAATCTGAATCTGCATTCTGACCAGACAGTCTGGTGATTTGCATGCACACTGAAGTATGAGAAGCAGTGGCCAAAAGCATATGCAAATGTGAGTAGTGGCACTATTAGGGAGCTCATTTTTTAGTTGTAAATAAGATGATAGTAATGCAAAGCAGTAAGTTATCAGTGGCAAGTGACTAATACAGAATGAAAAGTCTATATGAATGGGATTTGAATTGCATGTTAAATAAAGAATACAGGATGTGTATGTCTAAGGAGAATGGTAGTCCTGTCAGGGCATGTAACAAGAGCAGTTCTGTGGCTACAGGAAGCTGTAGGAAAGGGTGGAAGATTTGCGTGTGGAATGTATAGATGACGAAGCTGGAAAGGTAGATAAGGTGCAGATTATAGGCTCAAATACTGAGATGCAGCCTTTTCGTTCAACAAACTATTGTCTTCTCTGGTTCAACTACCCTTGAACTTCACCCTCTAGGGAATAAGGGACCGTTACAGGGTTTGAGCAGAGGAATACTATAAAGGAGAAGGATATTTGAGCATGACTCTGCTTTTAGAGATCTTCTGTATTGTAATGAAAGTAATGTGCTATAGGCCTATTGTGTACAGAAATGTGATTTGACCTTCAGAATAACAAAGTATTATTAGGATGCTGTTTAATAATAGAATTGTCCTGTAATGTGTTAGCACATTATACTGTAGTATTATATCACACTTAATAACACAGAGACAAGATCATTAGAAAGCTCTTCCAGTTCTGCGATGGCTTGTGAGCCGGTGGAAGGGTAGTTGTAAGGAAGTCGACATGCTGTTCTTTGATAACAGTAGCCCAGAGGCCTGGAATAACCACGTGGCATCTCTTGTCTCTCTGACCCAAGTGGAAAGAGGTAGCAGTTTTTGCCTTGAGTTGTTAGGAAAAGCATCTGTTGAAAATAAAACATTTATGCGTTGTAGCACTGCCCCCCGACTCCATAAAGCAAAATGCCCTACATGCTTGTGTTCTTCTGGCTGCCGGCATGTCAGCTTTGATTTCAGCCATTACCCCAGTGGGAGCTGTGCCATGGGAAGTCTTTTGCCCTTTTGGGGAAGCAGTGGGGGCAGACATTATAGTTTATGGCCGTTTTTATCTCTGGGTTGCTTATAAGTTGTCATCTTCATCCTCTTATGCATCATAGATTATATGCCTTTATCTGCTTCATTAGAATTTTGTAATTAACATTCCCTCCCCTGGTCCCTGACCTGGACCATCACAGCCCTGAGTGTTGTTGCCTAGAGGTATCTGAGAGTTCAGATCCTCCAAGGCAAAGCCTTTGCTATTAGCCTTCTCGTTTCCTCTGTTTAAAGGAAAGGAAGATAAAATCCTAAACATCCTGCTAGACCTCAGAATGTGACATCTGGAAGAGGCTTTCGTGTGGTCTCCTGTCCTGCCTCTCTGCCAGGCCCTCCCCTGAGAGACATCCTGCCTCCTGCTATACCTTTGGTGTCTGCAGGGGCAGCCTCCCAGGCAGTTCCTGCCCATTGACTTGTCGGGTTTAACAGATCCCTTATTTGTGTTGGCAGCTTTTGAATAGGCAGAAAATGAAAGCTATCTGCAGGAAGTGTCACTGCCATCTGCAGGCACACACGCTGGTACCCAGGGTCCCCTGTCATTCTCTCTCCAGATGGGTCTTATGTTTTAGAAAGTGGTTGTGGCGGGGGAGCACGGCCTATTGTTTCCTTTGTTTTCTACAAGGCTTATGACCATCTCCGTGTCATCCCTTAACTCTTTCTTTGCAAGGCTTATCAGGAAATGAGAAGGAATGGGTACAACGTGTGCTGCTGGATTAAAACTCCCAGAAACACCTCAGGATTGGTCTGAGAGGTCGTCTGCCCGCCTCTCTATAAGATGCCAGCTTTTCCCTTGCTGGTAGCTATTCTCTTTTATGTCTTCCTTTAGCTCTAAATGGATTGAATATTGATCTATCCTTTGGATTTTTGAGAGCTGGTTTCTTTGCAATCTCCTGGAATTATAAGATTACCTCCCTGCTTTCCCTCTTCCTAATCAGAAACCCAGTATGAGCCCTTATAATATCAAGTGTATCAGAACTGGGAGTCCTCTGCAAAATGTAAATGCATATATTCTTGCATTTGTTTCCTGGGACAAGAACTTCTATATACATCTTGGCTGAAGACTGTGCCATTTGCAGATTTTCTTTTCAAACCTCTTCAAAGATGTCCGCATAATTACATCTATTAGGCTGCATGTAGGGAGGTGGGATTCTTTTTCCCCTTATTTTCCTTTTCTTCTTCTCCAGTCTCATTTGAGGCTATGGGTTAATTAAGCTGTGAGCAAAATGGAAATCCTTCTTTATGACAGTCAGTGCTCATAGTAATGCCACATGATCTTGTCCAGTGGGTCCTTTTATCCCGACGAATTCTAGAGAACCATGTGGTGAGCTGTGTACAGGTAGCCCTATTCATCTAAGGGGCCTGAATCATGTTGTGGTCATGGGTCTCCATCTCTATAGAGACAAACTGGCGAACTATCTGACATGTTGGAAAATCATCTGAAAAGCAATGTAACTGTTAAAAAATGAGTTAGCTTAGGCAACAACTAGAAACCAGGCACCCTGGCCTCAGTCCCCGTTGCTTGTTGTGGATTCCTGCTTAGGCAGCTTTGTTCATATACTGGCTCTGCTGTTTACCAGGTAGCAGATGTTGAGCAAGTCCACTTTTAGGTCTCAGTTTCCTCATCTGCAAAATTGGCATAATAATGAGATCTCTCTGTAGAGCACTAAGCCTGACATTTACAAAATATTTGGTAAATATTAGCTATTGTGGTTTATCATGTCATGGTTCTTCCCCCATCTATCTATCCTGAAGAGTTATAAAGTTACAAGATTCTTAAATGCCTCACATAAAGAAGTTTTAGAAATGGAGCTATTAGCTAGATCTTCTTAGCCAGGTGGAGGGAGCTGATTAAATGTATCTAGTTATCAAATCATTTTCCCCAGGAGAAAGCACTGGTGCTTTATGAGAATTAATCTTTCCTCTCTGTCCTTTCAGATTTTCTCTTTTCTGGCTCAAGCCTTAGATTTAGCTTCTCTGCTGCTCTTTTACAGAGCTGCCCCAGCTGTACCCACTTAGCCCCTTGGAGGTCCTCAATACTCTGTACCTCGCATTGCTCCTGCATCCATGACATTTTTTGCCCTGTCTTTTCCCATGGAGTGCAACTCTCCCGGTAGAGTGGGCTTCTGCCCCACAGGGACAACACTTTACTGTCTAATGAATGCAGTCCTCTGGCCCGGGTCATAAGTACTGTTTAAATCTGGGGCATTCATCCCCTGAACACTCACTCCCTCTCTTGTACAATGACTGCCAGCTGGCCTATGACTCAAGGATAAAGAATCTCATCTCATTTTGTCACTTGCCCTTCCTGTGACCTTGGCCAAGTTCATTAACTCCTCCTGCCTTTAGTTTTAGCCTTATTAAAATGCTGTCTTCTCTACTGATGCTTAGGAATGAGGAGGAGCTCAATATCCTTAGAAAAAGAGAAGTCTGATGCAGTTATTAACTTTTCCCCCTTACATTGTCAGTGGGCCTGTGACTAGGACATTGTTTTTATGTCCTGAGGTCAAACCCTCATTGTTGCTGCTTCCCACTGAGGCTTTCATCCCTAGTGCTCACTTATTGCACCATCCAGGTTCATGGAGAATAGAGAGATTTTCTTAAGCTGTCCTATTCTGTGCTCACAACAAGGCTGGACTGTTTAATGATGTTCATGTTCATGGCTCCAAGATAAACCTATACTGGTGACTTTCTTTGTTTTGTTACCTCCCTTAGAACGACCAAAATACTGTCTTGGGAATAAGCATAGTTTACAGCAAAAACAGTCATTCCTTTATATTCCATTCCTCGTTCCCATTTCTGTAAGCTCTTTGGGATTGGGAGAGTTTATTCTTCCTTCACATCTTGCCATAGCACATGGCAAAACCATCTTTCCCAATGGGGAGCCCAGAAATTTTACCAGTAAGCAATTCTTATTCCACACTGTAGTCAGATTTCCAAAGGTTCCTTATTTATAAACATCTCTCTATAGAAAGGAGATGGTTTCATCCATTGCAGCCCCTATCACAAAAATGCCACAGGCATAGCAGTGCTCAGGATGTTACATGAATGGGTGCTTGACCAATTGACAAGTCCACTGACTGTCCTGAGAGGTAGGGCTCCTAGTCTGTCCTCAGCTGGCAGCCCTGTGAGGAGGCTTTTTGTACAAGCATCACTGTCATTTTGCTAGAACTACGTTGGCATTCTCTCTTATTTAGAAACGGCATTAAACACATCTGTATCCTAAGTGAGTTTATAGGTTCTAAAAGCAACCACATAGCTTGCAAGAGATTTACTTTTCATTTATGTAACTTGTTTACATAGAAACTTCATGGATTAGATGATAGTATATAAGCCTCCCCGCTAGGAAGAGTGCGTCTTGGCGTTGGTGTCTATGAAACAAAGTTCCTTCTGTTAGATGTAAATGCTCCCAGAAATGGCCTTTAAATGTCCCTGAAATGAGCACTCTTATCCTAGGAATGACACCACTTTCTTCTGTAGGGAGCTCCAGCCCCAGCTTCATCCAGCAGCCTCAGAACTACTCCTACCTTCCAAGCACTCCCTGCAGCCTTCAGCTGTTCTCCAGCCGCCTGCCTGCCTGTCACATCCTCCGAAATCTAATATAATTAGCGCTTTGCCTGTGTTGCTGATTTGTTGGTCCACAATTAGGATTTATAAATAGCCCACAAACAAGAAGACCAAACAATCTGAACTTCTGCTTTGGTCTGTTCTGAATGGTGGTTTTTAAATATGATCAGCGTACAGATGTGAGCTTGGAGAGATGAAAGCTGTAGGAAGGAAGGAAAGTCGCTTTCTCTGGCTCCTGCTTGAAACTCTGCCTTCCTGAGTAGGCAAGGAGGAGGACAGTGGGCTGGGCGATTGGGTGTCTGTAAATTGTATTTTTGTTAACAGGCACAATCAAAGTGCTAGCATTTAAAACTCCTTAGACTTCTACTCTTGAAATGTCAAGGACTTCTCAGGTCACTGGGGAAGATACTGGGGTCCAGAAAAGTTGGGCAACTTGCACCAACTCATGTTTTTATTTTAAATAAATTTTATTTTGTATATTTAAAATAGACAACGTGATGTTGTGAGATACATAGAGATAGTAAAAAGGCTACTACAGTAAAGCAAAATAACATTCATCATCTCACATAGTTACCCATCTTTTTGTTTTTGTGGCAAAAATCTCACCAAGTCATCCTTTGGGCTCGCTGCATTGCTTTGGATAGTATTTAAAATTTTCCAGGGCCTAAGATCAATTTTAACTAAGCGACAGATAAAGAATTTCACTTTTCTCTTGTTGGCTTTACCTTTTCAGTTGATATTTATTGATATCTTAAGAATATTCTTAACTGGATGATTGTTCTTCCCAAATCATTTTGGACCAAGCTCACTTTTCTTTCCTATGTACGATGGGCACTGGTGGTCTCCACATGACCTCCTGTTGTTGATTTCATGTGCCAGGAAGAAAAAAATAAACAGGGCTATGTCCCAGCTTTCCTATGGGGAGTCAAAGCCCTTAAGGAAGCAAAGATTCAGCTTCGTCACAGTTTCCTGGGATGGTGCCCTCGGGCTGAAGCAGGGTTCTCTAACTATTCTGCAGGCTTTGTGCCCATCTGCTGTCTGGGGCTATGTCAGATCGGCCGCATGAATCTCGGGACCGATGCCAGTACCTTCAAGTTTTATACCATGTGTGGTCTCCAGGAGGGCTTTGAGCCGTTCGCTGTCAACATGAACAGAGATGTTGCCATGTGGTTCAGCAAGCGCCTCCCAACGTTTGTCAACGTGCCAAAGGATCATCCGCACATAGAGGTAACATTATACAACGTGTGTAGCCCTGTTAGGTCAGGTGGGCCAAGGCCCTAAGCTCCCCCTAAGTCTCCTGTCAACAGGCAGCTGCTTACCTAAGTCATGCCCTGGCCGCTTACCAGCCACCTCCCTGCTGTCCCTCAGAGCTACAGTTGTGGCCATCTAAATTGGGGCAGCTTAGTGGCATCTTACAAGAGACAGCAACGTTGTTATATAAAACCTTGCAGATCGAGTCTCAAGATTTTGGGCCACTGCATTTCTGCATTTGCTCTGGATGTTCCTATACTATATTGTCATAGTAATACAGTATCCAGAGACATTAAACTTTTTTTAAGTTCAGGCTGGTTGTGGTGGCTCACGCCTGTAATCCTAGCTACTTGGGAGGCTAAGAGGGGAGAATCCCTTGAGCCTGGGATTTCGAGGCTGCAGTAAACTATGATCACGTCTCTGCACTGTAGTGTAGGTGACAGAGCGAGACCCTGTCTCTTAAAAGAATTTTTTTATTTAAAAAAATTTAAGGCCGGGGGCAGTGGCTCACGACTGTAATCCCAGCACTTTGGGAGGCCGAGGTGGGTGGATCACGAGGTCAGGAGACCGAGACTATCCTGGCTAACATGGTGAAACCTTGTTTCTACTTAAAAAAAAAAAAAAATTAACTGGGCATGGTGGTGCATGCCTGTAATCCCAGCTGCTTGGGAGGCTGAGGCAGGAGAACTGTTTAAACCATGTAGGTAGTCAGAGGTTGCAGAGAGCTGAGATCACACCACTGCACTCCAGCCTGGTGACAAAGGGAGACTCTGTCTCAAAAAAAAAAATTTACAACTTCAATACCTATATTCAAGATTACATGTACTGAACATGTATGTTCTTACCCACTCATGAACTGATGTCTTGTAGGACCTATTTAATTTTTTGATGGTGTTTCCAAGATTTTAAGCTGATGTGTGGTCATTGATTCATCTATCCCCACCTTCTAGGGGGAGCAGAAAGGAGCCAAAGATTGTAAGGCGCCTAACCTGGGTTCTGGCCCTACATCGACTTAGACTTGCCTCTGTTTCAGTACACAGACCATGGTTTTTCCATGGTGGGTAGGGGGAAGAATTTTGATTAAAAAAAAAAAAAAAAAAACCACTAGAGAGATCAGCCCCACTGTAGCTTTAGTCAAGGTAGATTCACTGGCTTGCTTCAACCTCACTGTAAGTTCCTTAACTCATCCTCCCACCTGAATTCAACAAGCATCATCCTTAAAGTCCACTTTCTTACTCAGTTAAGTAGTAGAGACTTATTTCTCGGATTCCTCCCTAACCATTACTTTAGAAAAGTGACTCTTAAACGTTTGGAAGTCATGAACCCCTTTGACAGTCTGATAGAATCTGGAGGCCCTCTACTTAGAAAAATATACAAACCACACACAAATATTGATGTATTCTCATAGGCCCCAGAACAAGAACAGCTCTCTAGAGAGCAAAGAAGAGGCTCAGAAAATGATTACTATAAGCCTCAGTTCACTTCCGCTGTATCCCCCATCCCCCGCCCCACATGCACATTGCAAAAGTCCGTTTCTGACTTTTCCTCTCCCAGCTCTGCCCCCTGCAATGCTTGTGCCTAGAAACTGCAGATTTCCCTAGAATTGAGAGGAGGCTCCAGGAACCTCAGCCTTCAGGCTGTGACTGTGGCAGAGATGAGAGCTGGACTGGGCAGGGAGCATACCCTCCTCAAGAGCTGGACATCCTTCCTGAGATTTGGGATTTCTTTTGCCCCTTCCCTTAGATGTTCTCATGCCCACTGACAAGCACAGTCCTTGGAAAGATTCTCTTCTTTAACCACATGCCCCTGACCTAAAAGGTTAGCCTCTGTGAACACTGTGCTGCATCTCCCAGATGCCACTCGCCTTTGGCATTTATTCTTCACTCTTGGCCTTACAGAGAACCCAGTGGGCATGTTTTTCAATCTCTAATTTCCCTAGCCAGAAGAAGATCTGTTACTTTCTACAGGACAAGGCCCAAAGTAATGATGAAAATCATAGTTTGGTTATCACTGGACACAACTTACTTCCATAGTTCACAGAATGCCTTGTCATATGCATGTCAATGAGGGAAGAAGGGACTGGATCAAGTTCAGGCCCTTTGGTATGTCAGAAAAGGATTCATCATGTTTCCAGGTCGTGAGGATTGATGGTACCATGGACAGCCCTCCATGTCTCAAGGTGACCCATAAGACGTTTGGCACACAAAATAGCAATGCCGACATGATCTACTGCCGCTTGAGCATGCCCGTCGAGTGCCACTCTTCCTTCAGCCACAGCCCCTGTCTGGACAGTGAAGCTTTCCAGAAAAGGTGAGGATGAGGCCCCCGGTTCTCAGAGGCACTCATTGTGTTTGTTGTAAAGTAGGCTTTCTGCTTTTTACTCTAATTCAGCGCAGGAACTCCATAGACAGGGTTGTCTCTGCTTTCAGTCAGGTAGAAAAAAAATAAAAATGAGAATATGTTTGCACACATGTGCATGCAAGTACATGTGTGTGTTTGTGCAGTATATAATTAAGGTACCAATCATGTTACACAGACACGTCTGGTGGAAAAGTTTCTGCTCTTCTGGAACTGAGTCCCTACCTTCCTTGCTGCCCATAATTCCTGTGTTTTGTGAGTGCATAAGAGGGTAAAATTATTTTTGCTTTTGTATGTAATTAGAATTTTCTGGAGGCAGATATTGCCTTCTTTGCATAAGTATGGGCATTATCCAATCCTGCAGCTGTGTGATTCATGGGTAATGTGACTTCTTTCTTCCTGATAAGGAATATATTCCTTGCTGTCTTTCTTTCCGTGATGTCTATTTTTAATCATTGACGTATGTCTGCTCTCTGGAGCCGTCTTTTTGGAGTTCCCTCTAGAGTTTTTGCTTTCTATCAAGCTTTTCAATAAGCACAGCTGCTTGAGAGACTAGGATAACCTATTCAGAGGTATCCCTGCTTATCTTATTGCAGTCTTCCATCCTCACTCTCAACTTACCATCTAACTTACCATCTGGGTTGAGGGATAAGAGTTGGGAGTCACATCCCTGCCTTGTGTTAACAGCTTACAAATGAACAAGTCCCAAGACTGGTTGCAATCACTTGTATTCAGGAAGTAGCCAGTTTGCTAAACTTGCCTTGATCATTAAAGGTAGATCAATTGCCTGTTGGAACTGTGGGATTCTCTCTACAGCTGAATAACTAAAACATGGATTATCTTCCCCCCAGGAAACAGATGCAAGAAATACTCTCTCATACAACAACAGTAAGTAAATGCGCTCAATTATAGTTTTAATTATTTGATTCTTTGTTGTGCCTGGTAATATGCCCCTTACAGCAACAATCTATCTAGAGATCCTCTTTAATTACCAATTACTCCGTCTTTCAATATCCATCTTGATGCTTCCAGAACACATCTGTGGCATTTCTCAAATGGGGGAAGGAAATACAGTTACTTAGTGTAAAGCAAAAGCTCTACCTGATGTTCCTAATTGGGCATCATTGTGCACTTGTTGGCCATTTGCCATCAGGGACCCAACACTGCCTTTCTGTTTGAAATGAGCATCTGTTGGAGGGTGCTCAATTAAATCTTTGTTTGCTTTCTTTGTGTCAACTTTTGTGAGTCAGCTCCCCCACATCTCTGTGCAGTGTTAGGAGTGATGTTAAAAGCAGTCAAATGAGAAGACGAGCAAGAAGCCAGCCCAGAAGATAAAGGCTACTTTTGGCCCCTAGACAGTAGTCAGAAAGCAACTCCTGATTTCTTTCTTTCTCTCATTCTTCTCTAGCAAATGGCCAAAAAAAAAAAAAAAAAAAAAGTCTATGGAAGAAACGTGTGTCAACCATTCCATAAAGTTATCCAACAATCCTGAATTCATAGGTTAACCCTCATCAGGAATAACATTCTTGCTGCAGTGAATCACACACCTAGTATGTGTGGTACACTGTGCTCGGCACATTGTTGCCTTCCCCTTCAATCTCCATTTAATTCATTTAAAATTAATTTAATCAGCAAGCCCTGACATGGTTAATATTATGCACAGAGAGGACAAATGATTTCTCCAAAGTCACATATGAATACCTGGCAGTGCCAAGATTCAATCCCAGGTGTGTCTAGCTGACCCTTTTTTTTTTCCGGTTAAGAAAATCAACAGACTATAGATAAGAGCCACTTCATTAAAAATGAACCTGCCTCGTTTTATAGAGAAAGTGATGAGGTAGTCACCTGCCTCAGTGCTGTATTGTTGTAATATAGTGATAATCCCATGAATTGTGATCACTATATTGTTGTAATATAGTGATAACCCCATAAATTGTATGACCCCTGCCAAAAACTGCTGTACTTCTCAATACTGCCTTTAGTTGAGTGTGACAGCTACACAAAGCACATTTGGCCATTACATGAACTCTTTCTTAAGCAACCTCTTTCGAGACTTTCCAGAAAAAAGCTGGACCTCCCTGTAGAAGGAGAAAGTGTAACAGGAATACTCTAACCCTTGACCACTCTCTATCTGAGGGCAGGGACCATTCCCGCTCTCTCCTGCCGCCCAGATCTGCCCTGGTGCCAGGAGAGAGTTATTGCTCTGTGATGCCCATTCTAAGCAGCTGTCACTGCTTCCATCCACAGCACCTCCTGATTTCACCGCCAGAGTCTTCTGGGCAAAGGGTGGTAGGTTAGCTTAAGCATTTGCTTTGCCAGATGCTGCAGCAAAACAGAAAGGGAAAAATTAGGAAGCCAGAATCCCTATTCAGCCTTCCTTCCAGATCTAGCCTGTAGTCTACCTCTACAAGTGTGCACTTTTGCAGAAAAAAAGGGCCAAGTGAGCTTCTGTGTTATTTCTGCCTCTTGGGCCCCCTTCCTGAACTGGATGGGGGCCATTGACTCCCCTCTGTGGTCTCTCCACAGCAGTGCTACTATGCCATCCGCATCTTTGCTGGACAGGATCCATCCTGTGTCTGGGTCGGATGGGTGACTCCAGACTATCACTTGTACAGTGAAAAGTTTGACCTGAATAAAAACTGCACAGTGACTGTCACCCTAGGGGATGAAAGAGGCCGGGTCCATGAAAGGTAAGGGGGCTCCCAAGTGGTGGGGTTAGCCATCGGGCTCCTCAGTCCTTCCCCCATGTCTTTTTCTTCCACCCCACACCCAAAGAAGGAAACATCTCAGCCTCTCTTAGAAGGAGAAAATGAAGCACAGGCTTAAAATTAAAAAAAAAAAAATACTTTGACAGTGAGAAAAAGTGCTAGTGAAAATAGAGAAGAATTTCATCATGTATATAAATCGTGACTCAGGGATGGAAAATAGAGACAGACATTGGGGTATGTGGTCTCTCTCAGAGTTTTTTTCCAGGATTTCTGGGTGAGTTCCAATTTCTACAATATCAGAACAAGACAGGGAAAGTCTCTGGGTGCTTGAAGGAAGTTGGTTCAGGAGAAATGAAAAGACACACTGCATCACACACTAACTGATAAACTCAGAACTCTTCATCCCAAGGTTTTAAAACGGTTGAAAGCATAAGGAATAAAAGAGTCATTGAAACTTCGTGAATAATAACCACTAAATAGAAATTCGGAATCTTTAGGGAAAGCGCATTCTAGGCACACCCATACCCTCCCACTGGTCTGCTGGCACTGCTGCCAGGGAAGAGATTATTGGCCAGATGTGTTCCAGAGGTGACTCAGGAGAACGTGGCTTGTGGTTTTCATCTGTTTTCCATCTACATGAGTACATGAGCAGGAGCATCTTTTCCCTATGTGGTCATATGTAGAGATGTCATAAGTTGTTTTTCACACTGGCCTTTACTCCCTACAACGACAGGAATGGCTTGCAATCAGTGCCCTTTAGAAAATAGTGGCTCACCAAAGACTAGTGGCCAGAGTTGAGTCATAGTCACTGTGTCATGAGGGACCAGCAGCGGGTTAAGAGTGCCAGCTTTAGAATAAACTGCCTGGGTTTTAGGGGTATGACATTGGACCAATCACTTAACCTCCCTGGGCCTCGATTTCCTCATCTATAAGATGAGGATAATAGTTCCTATCACATAGAGTATCATGAGGATTAAGTCAATTAATTCACAGAAAAAATCTTAGGACAGTGCCTCAACTCAGGCACTCTATTAATATCAACTACAGTCATCCCTTGGTATATGAGCTGAATTTGCCCCAGGATCTTCCACTTATGTCAAAATCCACTCATACTCAAGTCCCGCAGTCAGCACTGAACCCCTGTATAGGAAAAGTCAGCCTTCCCTATATGTGAGTTTTGCACTCTGTGAACACTGTATTTTTAATCCATGAGTGGTTGAAAACAATTCGTGCCTAAGTGGGCCCACATATAAGTGGACCCACGCAATTCAAACCCATGTTTTTCAAGGGTCAACTGTATCATTATTACTCCCCTTATTGAATGTCCATCGTTAATGAGAGCCAAAGTAGATGCTGTAAGCAACATCTAGTTTAGATTGGAAAGGGAAGTACTCTAAAGTAATTGACCAATTCAGGCTTTGTTCTTCAGCCAGAAGAAAAGGCAGAAGTGTCTAACTCGTTTGAGTTTATTATTCCAGTTTGCTGGCTCTGCCATACCAGATACATTACTTGATTTTTCTGAGCCTGAGTAACCATACTTACTGTGAAAATTAACTGACATTTTAGCACGTAGAATAAGACATACTATATGGTACACAATCAATAATCCTTTCTTCTTTGTCCTATGTAATAAGAAATAAATAAAAAATCAATTTACAAATGTTGTAGGACATTTTGAATTTAAGCCCTTTAATATATGACCAAAGCTAGCCACTTCACATTCCCACAGCATCAATACATTATTAATTGAATTCTGTATTAGTCATCAGTATGGTTAGTACCTTAATCATTAAAAAGTAGTACTAACATGGCTGCAGTTATGGAACTCTAATAATGCTATAACTCTTTGAAGGAGGCTATTTGCACTGGCCCCTGCCTGAGGGCATTCACAGGGAGTAAGCAGACCCATCATTGCCCCAAAGGAGAGGACAGGAGATTAATGCATGCTTACAAAGAGGGAAAGTGATAGACTTCTAGAGGCAGAAGGAACCTTGAAGAATCCTAACCGAACCCTTGGTTTTTCAAATGAGAAGATCATCCTGAGAGGTAAAGCAATTCTCAGAGTTTACAGGACTGTTCCAGGATCTACCCACCCCCACGGTGCCAAATGTACGCTCCCTGCCGTTGTGTGGCCTTGCTCTCCATGCTGAGGACCACATCAGGAAGCCAAGCTGAGTCACATCAGACTGACCCTAAGACATTTAAAGGGGCTGCTCTTGCATCAGATATAGCATCACTCATTGATTTAACTTGAGAAAAGTCATATCATGTCACTTTGAGGGACCTGGTCCCTGAGATGACGTACACCAGTGTGGGTTTAGAAGGAGAAAGAATCAGCTGCCTCTTGCCCATGGTGGGGGACTCTGAGAATCACCTCTGCCACTGAACATCTCCACAGCTCACCTGGGATGTGAAATCCTACAATTACAGAATCAGGCTTTGGAGCCTTAAAGACTTTTCAGTTATTATAGTTTGCTTTTAAGTAAATGCCTATAATGGAGTTTTGCATTCTGGGGGTTGGTAGATAGAAAGCTAAGCAAGGCACCTAAGTTGATTATTAGCCAGTAATGCAGGAGACAAAACTCCAAGGCACTGGGAACGACAGGGGTGTATAAGTCAAGGAGACAGCAAGGTGTCAGAGAGAAACTACTTTGTGGGGAGCCCAGGCCAGCCCTCCTAAGGAATGTGGGCCCAAGTTTTCAAGTGTTTTACAGCCTTTTGCCCTGTTTACCAGACTGGGACTCTGAACTCAGACTTTTGTTTCTGCCTTTTATTCCAAACCTCCATATAAGTTTGCCAAAGGTGGCCATTCACCCCATGCCTCAATTTCCCATCTCTACGGTAAGATACTCGTATGCCCATGATCTGTTTCACAAAGGTGTCTTGACATTGAGTCAGGGAACGGTTCTCTGAACATTGTGCTCTCTGGAAGGAGGTAGCCTGAATAGATTGCCACATCCCTACCCTGAGTGATTCATGCCTAAGTAAACTGGGCTGAAGCTAAGTGAACTCATTGAAGAAAAAATATTATTTGGGGCTGAACAGAAAGCTTCCTAGGAAAGTTTCTGGGGCATTTCATTCCTGAGTCTTGAATACAAACTGCCCCAGTCCAAATTCTGTTACCTTTTCCTTTTTTGGCTCCTAGTGTGAAACGCAGCAACTGCTACATGGTCTGGGGTGGGGATATTGTGGCCAGTTCCCAGAGATCAAATCGGAGCAATGTGGATCTGGAGATTGGCTGTCTCGTGGATCTGGCAATGGGCATGTTGTCCTTCTCAGCCAATGGAAAAGAACTGGGCACCTGCTACCAGGTAAGGGTGGCTTCTGGGGCTGAAACAGTGGTATCCCAGGCCTGGTGTTTATGACTATGTTCCTTGTTTTCTGTACTCAGCATTCCTGCCTCAGTGTGTCTAGCTGATGAGCCCATGTGAGCCATGGGCCACTTAGGACAGCAAATAAGAACAAAGTTACTTCATTGTGTGCAGTGAAAAAAGGGCTGGACAACCATAGTTACTGCTTGATCCAGTATGCCAGTTATCTTTCTAAAGGATGAAGAGGCTTTTCCTTGGTGTTGGGCTGTAAAATGTTATTCGTTTATTTCATAAATATTTCTTGTGCAGCCTTATCTATTACCCACACTATATAAAAGATGTAAAAGGTGAACAAAAATACTTCTCACACTAAGAAACTTGTGTACTCAAAATAGAAACCTACAAAAATGAATTAATTTGCCAAGAAGTATCCCTTTTGCAAAGAGGTTATCCCCATTCCTTATGACCACCATGTAGGATGCTTTAAAAATACATTTATGTAAATAATGTGTTTCCTCACTTCCGGGACTGTTAACTTCCATACTGCTGCTCAGGAAGACCATCCGTTACACACACATGTAGGTTTACCTGTCATTAACCGCAAGCAGCCTTAGCTCTTCATCTTGATGGCTGGGTGAGCCTGGGAAACTGCCACCTATAACATCCCCCTCTTGAAGTTTTGTAATTAAGGTCAGCGCATTGAAATCTTCGAAAAATACTTCAGAAAGAAACCTATCTAACGAGGCAATTCTCAAACTATTTGACAAAGAAAAGTACTTTTTAACTTAAAGAATCAGTAATGCTCTATGAACCTAGAGTTCTACAGAGCATACTATGGGAGATGGGAAGTTAAGGAATTAATGTCTATATTAAACATTCTCCACCCTCCAGGGTAGAATGGAGAGTCACAAGTATGTATAGACAGAGTATGCTATACAAGTTCAAAAAAGGAAGAGTTCACTCCATCACAAGCAGTCAGGAAAATGTTCATTAAGGAGGAATCTTGATTTTTTTAAGGAAAAAGAGTTTTAACAGACCAGGCATGGAGGCTCCCACCTGTAGTTCCAGCACCTTGTGGAGGCCTAGGCAGACAGATCACTTGAGCTCAGGAGTTCAAGACCAGCCTGGGCAACATAGCGGACCCTCAGCTTTACAAAAAATACAAATATTAGCTGGTATAGTGACACACACCTATAGTCTCAGCTACTCAGGAGGCTGAGAGAATCACTTAAGTCTGGGGAAGTCAAGGCTGCAGTGAGCCATGATTGTTCCACTGCACTCCAGCCTCGGTGACTGAGTGAGACCCTATCTTAAAAAAAAAAAAAAAAAAGTGGATGAATGAATGGATTTCATGAGTAGAAAGAGAAGAATGTTGGATACATAGCTCAAGAAGCATTATGGAGACAGGGAAGCATAAAGTGTGCTTGAGGATCAGTGGACAGCATCGTATGGGGCTCTTAACAGTTATTGGTAGGAAATTTATTTGGAAAGCTAGGGAGGTATAGATAGGAAATGGAGAGCCATTGAAGGTTTCTGAGCAGGAGAGTGGCATGCAGTATTTAAGGAATCCAGTAGTTTTTCAGCGTCACCAGTTTGCCTAACTACAGCAAATTAAAAATATCCTGCTATCGTGTACATGGATAAAACCCCTGATTCTTAAATCCGCCTCAGGTTACAGCCTCCAGGCTGAAAAGCCTCTTGGCAGCCAGTTCTCTGGTCTGTGGTTGGAATGATGGGGTAAGGTAGAGAGCAGACAGGGCAGCCATCTCCCATCTGAGATGTTCATTGACTAAGAACAGATGGACCAACTCTTCCTGGGGAGAGGGAACAGCCTGCTGGTATAGAGGCAGCCACCTTGTCTCTCCAGCACCTCCTGCAGTACATGACACCCTCTGCACCTCCTCCTCTTTCTGGGAGAAAGTGGAATCTTCACCACTTGGCGCACTTGCTTCAGCAGCTGGGGCCCAACCAGCCATTTCCAGAAAGATGCACTCGCAAAGCCAGGCTTTGAGGCAGAAAGTAAAGTATTATTCTTCTAGTACTCTTTCATGATTCTATCTCCTCTGCCCCTAAAATCCCCTGAGAAATATATATATTACTGCTGTCCTTCAGAATCCATTAGCTTTTTCCCATTAACTTTAGAAGTGAGTTTAACTGAAGGGTCCTCCCTGAGCTACAGAGAACGCTAAAGCATCTTGTAACTTTTAAGACTAGCTGATCTTTGGAAATTCAAAAAAAAATAATTTTTTTTAATGGCATTTGCAACTGCAGTGACTTCGTTCCTCAGGGAAGAGCCCATGATGTTGAAGAGGAGGACACTGTGGCAGCTTTAGCCCACTTTTCACCATCCTTCCTGGGTGACAGGCTGGTCAGTTGTCTTCTGTCAGCTGGGTGCTAGTACCTACCTTCTGGAGAGCCTTCCTCCACCCTGTGCCTAGAAATCCTGACCACCCTGCTCAGTGGTCCTAGTCCTGACTCTTGTCCTAAAGAACGCTGCTGCAAGGGAAACAGTGTCAGGGCTCTGTCCAGGGACCTGGGAGGCTCACACCCAGCCAGCCCCCTTCTCATTCCAGGAGAGACAGTACCATGTCCTGCCATGCTTCTGGTCCCTGACAGTGGGATCATTGTTATTCCACAGCTGTAGCCATTTTCATTTTTCAATTATCTCAAGAACAACAGGCTAGCAATATTTATACACTGGCTTTCAGATTCAGAAAGGACTAGAAACCAAAATAATGAGAGAAGGAGTCTCTCAAACAATGTTTCTAGACCTCCCCATTAAATAGCGATAAGCAATTTGAACACATTTTTCTGTCCCACTTAATACAAGCAGTGGAGAAATGAGAAATAAAATCTACATTCAAGAGATACTCCTCAGTGATTGCCACTCCAGGCACACCAGTCCGAGACAGAGGCTGCTGTGAGATTTGGATTTACAAGAAGGGTTAGCTTTCAATTCAAGCCAGTTCCTATGCCATGACCTTCATACATGATTAGGAAAATAATATCCATTATTGGAAGGACAAAACAGATCAGCCAGTGATGAAAGGTGCCTCAAATACAAAAGGGAAAATGTCAGTGGCACACCACGTCAGTGCTAAATCTGGGCTGACCGCCCAATCAATCCATGGGCACGTAAGTTGCTCATTTAGAAGGTAAGCTCCTGGAGGGCAGAGGCCCTCTCCTGTGCTCACTGTCGCCTCCCCATACATGAAACAGTACCTGGCACCTAGTCAATGCCCACTGAGTGTGTGTTGCCAGACTGACCTATGGCTGGGAAATTCCCTTGTAGTTATTTTTATTGTTTCCTAACAAGTTACCACAAAATTCAGCAGCTTAAAACAACACACATTTATTATTTCAGAATTCTGCAGGCTTGACTAGGTACTCATGTTCTCACCAGGCCAAACACAAGGTGTCCATTCGGCTGAACCAGGCTCGTGTGGAGGTTCTAAGATGAGTCCACTTCTGAACTCATTCAAGCTGTTGTTGGCAGTTCTTTGAGATCATGGGTCTGAGGTCAGAGATTCTGAAGCCCCTCCTTTCTTGCTCACTGTCAGCCAGGGCCACTCTCAGCTCCCAGAGAGCACCCACATTCCTTTACACGTGGCCCCCTCCATTTCAAAACCAACAAGGGCGCATCCAGTTTTTCTCTTGATTTTCCCTTCTTCCTCCAGCAGGAAATCTCCTGCTTTTAGAAGACTCATGCAATTTGAAAAAGCCAACAAGGTCTCCCTATCTTAAGGCCATCTGGTTGGAGCCTTACTTACATTTGCAGAATGCCTTTTGCCACGCAACATAGCGTGATCATAAGAGTAACACCAGGGGTTCGGAGGGCCTTCTAGGATCCTGCTTACCACACCAATTGCCCATTTTTATCCTCATATGCAGCCTCATGAGCTCACACTGTGTTTTCTTCTTTCATTGATTGAAGAGAAATTTCCTTTGTTTATCATGTGGGAGTATACTCTGCATGATGCAAAATAAACCTATCCCAGGAACTTCCTAAATGCTCTCAAAGTACCTACTTTCTGCAGGGAAGGTTGAGGAAAGCCACGGAGTTTGGGCAGTTTATGAGGTTTTCAGGAACCAGTCGTGAGAGAACTGAAAATTAAACTCCCTCTTCAAGCTATGGGTCCCTATGCTGGCGTGATTTAGTTCAGCCAAGGAAGCCTTTGACTGAATGCATTTCTCTCTCCTGTTAGCACAGATGCGTGGGCTTCCTGCTGGTCCAAATGAAGTTTTCTCAGCCACAAGAGCTCTGCCTCCTTAAGTTTGCAGTAACTTGAGGGCTACAAGTTGTTCTAGAGTTCACATATGGGGCATTTAAGAAATCTGGGAGCCAGCCCAGGGATGACTCCTACCTTATAGCTAAAGTCAGAACAACATCAAATCAGAATTTCGTGTTCATGTCTCTCATTACCATAAACTCAGGGTCTGGCACAAAGCAAGTATATAATAGGTACTAAATACCTGTTGATCATCCTTTACAGAGCTTATTTCAGGCATAGCCAGGCAGCAGCAGCAGTCTGCTCCAACATTGTGGTTTTACGGGCACTTATCTGTTCATATCATCCATGGGTACTTGAAGCATCCAGTATAAACCAGATATTTTTACCTGAAATGTCAGCCCACTTTTGTGTTCTAGAATGACCCTGTACTAGGCCAAAGTCTGGGGTTTAACCAGTGTAGCCTATTTCATCATGAACAAATGATAGCACTAAATCATGGAATCTTCTAAGTCACAGCCATAGAAATGTGTGTTTTTGTAAATCTTACGTCTAAATGCATTGAGGAAGTTCACTATTTCAAGAAAACCTATGACAGTTACTTTGACAAAAAGAAAACTCACTGTACTAATTTGCTGTTGCCACATTAAAAATGGCTATAAATTTAGCAGCTTAAAATAACATGTATTTATTATCCCATGATTTCTGTGGATCAGGAGTGTGACCACAGTGTAGCTGGGTCCTCAGCTCTCACAAGTCTCCCACAAGGATACAGTTAAGGTGTCAGCCAGGCTGCATTCTCTTCTAGAGCTCAGTATCCTCTTCCATGCTTATGTGCTTGTTAGCAGAATTGAGTTGCTAGGATTTGTAGAACTGAGGTCCCGTTTTTGTTCTGGCTGCAGCCAGGGGCCACTCTCCCCACCTTCCACCCCCAAGAATTCCTTGTTTTGTGGCCCTCTCATAAGCCCTCTAACAGTACAGCTGCTCACATCTCCAAGGTCAACTGGAGAAGCTTTCTCTCCAGTCCACCAAGATGAAGTTTTACATAAAATAATCTAATCTAGGAAGTGACAGTTCCTTCAACTTTGCCGTTCTATTTGCTGAAAACAAGACACAAGTTCTAGGGGAATGATGACTCACTGGGGTCACCTTAGGGTATGTCCACCACATCTGCCATCCCCTCATTTGTAGATGGGGAGAGTTGCAAGAATTTCCTTATGTCTACATTTGCCTCAAACTAAAAGCCTTCAGTAGGTGGAATTAAAGTCCCAGTGTGTGAGTAGACTTTATGAAGTCTCCCATCGTGCTCCAGTGACTCTCCCTTGAAAACACGTTAGTAATAGGGAATTCAGGGGAATTCAAATTTTAAAATAATACCTGGAGCTCTTGATGTGGTGCATTGATAAATCAACATGCTTCACCTAAGTGGCAGCTGGAGCACAATTAGTGAATCCCAAACACTCCAACATAAGAACTGGAATGGTGAAGAATGAGAAGAGGGTTGAGAGGGGTCCAGAGGAACCCGGGGAGAATGAGGGATTTGAGAGGGAGACAGTGTCCTTTTGTTATTCCAGTGAGGGACCTCACAGTCTTTGCCTTTAGAGCAGTGTTTCTGAATCAGGGTGCTTTTGCCCTTCACAGAACATTTGGCAATGTTGATTGCCAACATTGTTGGTTGTCATGACTGTGATGGGGGCAGAGAGTGCTGCTGATGTGCAGCAGGTGGAGGGCAGGGATGCCATTCAATATCCTACAAGGCATGGGATGGCTTCCACAGCAAAGGGCTACCTGGCCCAAAATGTTGGCAGTGCCAAGGATGAGAAACCCTACCATGGAATCTCCCTGGGCTTGCTTGACTAATGTCAATTTGCCTGAGTCACCACCCTGCCCCTGTTATCATCTCCTATAGGCAGGTGTGGAGAATGATGGTGCTGCCCATGTACCACATGTCTCCGGGCTCTGTGAAGAGCAAGCACACCACATTGTTGAGTGACTCAACAGGTAGGTGGAAAGCTAACTCCCTGCCTTTGGTACCACCTACTTGTCCTGCTGTGCACTGCAGGAAGCTACTGGCTATAGGTATCTGAGAGAAAAAGTGAAAGGACCTGAAATTATTCAGCCCCAAGTAGAGAGCGCGTTTAACGTGTGGAATCATGACAATCTCCACTGGTAGATACCTGGTCTTCTGGGAATTTCTGAGCAGACAGCTCGCAGTCCATTGGAATGAGACCAAAACACTCAATGGTTGAGCCAGCTGTGATGTTTGCCCAGCTCTGGGCAAAGCTTTCCATTTGTTTTGATTTCCAGGTGGAGCCTAATACCAAAGTGTTTCCAGCAGTTTTCCTGCAACCTACAAGTACTTCTTTGTTTCAGTTTGAACTTGGAAAGCTGAAGGTATTTATCTGTCCTCTCACCTAATGGCCATGACAAGAGAAAGTATCACTAACCATTAGGGGAAAATCCCAGGCCTTAGGAGACAGGAGAAGCCCTCTCACTTTTCATAAGCCCCCCACCCCCAGGCTCTGCCCTGACCTGTGGAATTCAGATGATAGAACATGCATTCTTATCTTCCCCTTTTCCCACCTCTTTAGCAAGCTGAAAGAATCAATTAATGCTCATATAAGCCATTATTTGAAGTGCTAGTTAATGCCGGCAAAGCCCTTAGATATCCCTGAATACATTTGTTTCTCTTTATACTGACCATATTGGTTAAAATGGCTGGGTGCATCATCCACCAACCACGTGTTTCTTTTCTAATGCCTTTCGTATGTGCCCCAGAATGCAATGCCCCTGTCGGCGGCCATATTCAAGAGTGAAGAGAAGAACCCAGTCCCACAGTGTCCACCTCGGCTGGATGTCCAAACCATCCAGCCCGTGCTCTGGAGCCGCATGCCCAACAGCTTCCTGAAAGTGGAGACTGAGCGGGTGAGCGAGCGCCACGGCTGGGTGGTGCAGTGCCTGGAGCCCCTGCAGATGATGGCACTCCACATCCCCGAGGAGAACAGGTACCAGAGGGGCCCACAAAGGAAAGGGCAGGCCTGGGGGCAGGTGAGGCAGAAGCAAGCAGGCCCAGAAGGGAACCAGCAGCGTCTGTATTAAATCCTGCTCAGTCCCAAGATGACTTGATGTCCCCAGTGCCTCAATTTCTATTTGTTCCACTTGTGCTGCTCACTCAGAAATTGCAGGAAACACACTATGAGGTGCCTGTCACGGCGCCTTCCTTGCAGCTCCTAGTGCCTGGGATCAAGGAACAGATCCATGCCTTTCATTAAAAACCAGATTACCTTGAAATATGCATCATTTATGACAGGAAGGGGAAGACCAAGGCATCCTAGCTTGACTTAGAGAATCAGGAATCGGGCTCCTGGTCTCCCTGGTCTCCCCTTGCTAAGAGGTACTCTTGAATGATGGCTGGGGTTCAATCCCATTGCTATCTCTTTCTGGCTTTGTGGCCTTGGGTACATTACTTGTGCACTCTGAACATTGGTCTGTTTATCTACACAGTGAGAGAAATGTCCACCCAAAGGGTTTCTGAGAGGAAAAAAAATGAGACCGTATAGATATAATCTGGTACAGTTTCTGTACATAGTAAGAAATAAATTTTATTGTTACAGTTATTGCCATCCCTTGACCTTTTTGAATAAAAAAGCAGAGTAATGGGAAAAGGTGGAGTTACTTGACACCTGTATAGCTCCCATTTAAGTGTCCCATTGAGTCACGTGCAGCAGGGCAGGCCACTGCAGGAAAGGGGCAGAAAAGACCAGAAGCCCAGCCAAGTCAGTTCTGCAGGGTACTCAGATCCACGACGAGGCATAAGACAAAAATGGAAAATCTAAGCAGAGATTAGAGCCCAAGCCCTGGACCCACACAAACAAGGGAACAACATACAAATAGACCTCTAAGACAGGAAGGAAAAGCAAACTGGATTATGTTAGGTGGTTTCAGGTTGGAAGGTGTTTCCTCTCTGGACAGGAGTGCAGGTGTGTTTGTTTTCAGGTTGCTGGGAGGAATACCCCATGGATAGTGGTAGATGGGACATTATACAAGTGATACAGATCAGTGGTCCTCAGCCTTTTGGCACCAGGGACTGGCTTCATGGAAGACAGTTTTTCCACAGCCAGTGGTGGGGTGAGGCTGGAGGAGGGGGTGATGGGGATGGTTTCAGGATGAAACTGTTGCACCTCAGATCATCGGGCATTATTCTCAAACGGAGTATGCAGCTTAGATCCATTGCACGCACAGCTTACAATGGGTTTTACACTCCTACAAGAATCTAACACCTATCCCGGTCCATGGCCCTGGGACTGGGAACCCTTGATGTAGATGGTAGACTGACAGCATAACCTACATTTGCTGAGGAGATTTTACACGGGAAAATGCAAGATCTGCTTGATCCTACGAGTAAGATGACCAAGTCATCTCTCTCATATACGTGAATGTTTTCTGTTTGGAAATTTTGGGTTTTTTTCCTAATAATGAGGACTTTTATATTTGGTAAACCAGTGTCTTGCAGGCTTTTGAGAGCCTTGCAGTTAAATATGGTGGAGTATTAGGAAGTAGAATATGGACCAGAGCTGTGAGAGGCATGATAAACCATAGAGGAACTGTTGCAGAGACCCCCTCCATCCTTCCACACACTCTGCCTTTGTTGGGCTGGGTAAAATCACTGGATTCTGGTGGGTGGTTCTCCCCATGGTGTGGCTGATTGCTTGTCCTGTCCTCAGGTGTGTGGATATCCTGGAGCTCTGTGAGCAGGAGGACCTGATGCGCTTCCATTACCACACGCTGAGACTCTACAGTGCGGTGTGCGCCCTGGGAAACAGCCGCGTGGCCTACGCCCTATGCAGCCACGTGGACCTCTCCCAGCTCTTCTATGCCATTGACAACAAGTACCTCCCCGGCCTCCTTCGATCTGGTTTCTACGACCTCCTCATCAGCATCCACCTGGCCAACGCCAAGGAGAGGAAGCTGATGATGAAGAACGAGTACATCATCCCCATTACCGGCACTACCAGGAACATCCACCTATTCCCGGATGAGTCCAAGAGGCACGGACTGCCTGGGGTGGGCCTCAGAACATGTCTCAAGCCTGGGTTCAGGTTTTCCACCCCTTGCTTCGTCGTGACTGGTGAGGAGCACCAAAAGCAGAGCCCTGAGATTCCCTTGGAGAGTCTCAGGACTAAGGCTCTAAGTATGCTGACAGAGGCAGTGCAGTGCAGTGGGGCACACATCCGAGACCCCGTGGGGGGGTCTGTGGAGTTCCAGTTTGTGCCTGTGCTGAAACTCATTGGAACGCTGCTGGTCATGGGGGTGTTTGATGATGATGATGTTCGGCAGATCCTCCTCCTGGTTGATCCCTCTGTGTTTGGGGAGCATAGTGCGGAGACAGAGGAGGGAGCAGAAAAGGAGGAAGTGACCCAGGTGGAGGAGAAGGCTGTGGAGGCTGGGGAGAAGGCCAGCAAGGAGGCTCCTGTCAAAGGCTTGTTGCAGACTCGATTACCTGAGTCGGTCAAGCTACAGGTAAGCTGCAGGTGGTTAAGTGGAGGCAGGTTAATAGAACTTCTGCTTTGATAAAAATATCAGGAACATACTGAGGATTAAAGGAGATAAGATGTGTCAAGTTCTCAGCATAGTGTCTGGCCGAGAGTGCTTGATGATTATGGTGCTTGCTGTTGAGTAAGTTCTAACAGTGATAAGATTAGTAATAATATCAATCCAAAATAACTGATCCCAGAAAAATAGTGCAATGAATAAACAATGAAAGATGGAGAGGAGGACAAACATCTCCACTTTCCATCCTCTAGGCCTGGAAAATTTCAGGAAGGGAGGCAGCACTCACATGCATGATCTGGAGCTAGCTTTTCTACTGTGCTTCCTGGGAAAATATTTTCTTAGAAATATCATTCTCTCTCTCCACAGGTACATTTCCTCTGTCTTTAATGAGCTTAATTTTCTGTTACCGCGTTCTCCTTAATGGTGAAGATTGGAGTAACAGCTCTGTGTCTACTGTGTGACAATTTATTTGCCAATTGCTTTAATTGTCTAAGTCTCACTGCTACTGCCTGTAAAATGGGGATGCTAGCAGCCTTACCAGTGTACACAAAGTGTTGCATATATAATACTTTCGTTGCAGATGTGTGAGCTCCTCAGCTATCTCTGTGACTGTGAGCTGCAGCACCGAGTGGAGGCCATTGTGGCATTTGGTGACATTTATGTCTCCAAGCTGCAGGCAAATCAGAAGTTCCGCTACAATGAGCTCATGCAGGCCTTGAACATGTCTGCGGCCCTGACTGCCCGGAAGACCAAGGAGTTCCGCTCACCCCCGCAGGAGCAGGTGAGGGTCCCTTCCTGAGCCTCCATCTAGCTCCTGTGGAAGGACTTGAGACCTATGGAACAGGGCACATGAAACCTCTATGATGTCTGGGGCAGCCTTAAGAGCTAGGGAAGATGAAAAGACGCACTGCAATACCAGGAGACAGGCCTAGTCCTGAGAGCTAAGGAATGTGTGCCAATTCTCCTGCGTAGGAAAATATCCCTTTCTAAATTGCACATGGGCCAGCACTTCCTCCCTTCTTTCACCCTCTCCAATGCCTCCTTTACTGATTCAAAGACCAGATCACTGTTGGGATTCAATTGTCAGCTCAGCAAGGATCCACCACTCAGAAGGATTTCTGCCAGCCCTTCCAGAAGTCACTACCTGTCTATCAGACACCAACAGAATAGGGTCAACCTGCACCAACTTAACGAGAGCTGGTGCACAGTTTTCTCTGTCTAATGCAGCTAAACTCCCTCATCAGTGGCACGACGTTCTCACAAAGCCTCCCCAGCTCCGTGGAGCCTGGAGAAGGGGATTCAGTGAGTGAATCGTCTTTGTGATTTGTGATCCCATGAGATAATTTATTTGGATTGTTTAGTGTGATGCCTGTCACAGCGTAAGCATTCTGTAAGTACTAAGCAAGCTACTATTAGCTTTAATGTTGGAGATACTTGCAGTTGCTTCATGCCAGGCTCTGTGACCTTCCATCAGTGACCCAGTGAGTGGAGTTCACACACATTTTCAGCCATCTCTTTCTCCCAGCCAAGACTGGGGTTGCCCATCCAACACTCTCCTCATGGATCTAGCTGCTCATGGTTCTGGCTCCTAGAAAGGACAAGGTTTGCCCCCACCCTTCCTTTCCGCATTCTGCCTCCACACCTTCTACCATTTCTTGGGCTGCCATTTAGATCCACTGCCAGGCTAAAAACAGCTTCACAACATTTGTAAAGCCTTCAAGAGTAATACCTGACAAAACAGCATACCTGTGCATTTGGCATGCTGCAGATAATCTTTTCCAGTCAATCCAAAATGATTTATCATTTTACATCTAGCAAAGGGATGATGAGGATGTACCCTCCTTTAGTATCAATCCTCTGAGCAATCATTTCAGACTCATTTCAGAAATCTGTCACTCAAGAAGTTCTTCCCTTATGTGTTAGACCAGCGATTCTGCAGCAAGCAGCAGAATTATCTAAAGGGCTTAATAAAACGCAGATTATCTGGTTTCACTGCTAGGGTTTCGTTTTTTGAGATAGAGTCTTGCTCTGTCACCCAGGCTGGAGTGCAGTGGCCCAGTCTCAGTTTACTGTAACATCCACTTCCTGGGTTGAAGCAATTCTCGTGCCTCAGCCTCCCAAGTAGCTGGGACTACCAACATGTGCCACCATGCTCAGCTAAGTTTTGTATTTTCAGTAGAGATGGAGATTTCCCCTTGTTGGGCAGGCTGGTCTTGAACTCCTGACCTCAAGTTATCCACCTGCCTCGGCTTCCCAAAGTGTTGGGATTACAGGTGTGAGCCTCTGTGTCTAGCATCACTCCTAGGGTTTCTAATTCAGTAGGCCTAGGGTGAGGCCCAAGCATTTGCATTTTTATCAAGTTTTCAGGTGATACTGATACTTATGGTCTGGGAATAAAAAGAAGGGACCCTAGCCACTATAAGATTCAGCTGTTCCCTGCCATCCCTCCCAGAGTGTTCACTTTTGCTAGGCACCTACCCATAGAGTTCTCAACATCAGGAAGATTTAATGTCATCAGAGGATATGGTGGATTTACATCAATTTCAGAGAATAGCAATGCAAAATTACTTAGAAAATAGGATGCCTGGAAATTAGAATTTTAAAACAGTGATATCCTTCTACGATCTTGGAGGAGAAAATAGATTTTTAAGCCCTATATCCAGAGAGTATTGAGGGAGATGAAAAAAATTGGGGGATATAAGTAAGTACAAAAGAAGGCATAACTAAGATTAGTCCAAGGGTTGCCGGCAAGTTAGCCAAGCAAAGCCAGCTGGCCTTTCATTTCCAAGAGGACTTCATTAAAAGTCATGACCTGCAACAGAAAATTCTGCTCAGCCCAGCTTTCTGTTTTATGTCCTACAGGCAGGGAAGCCCCTGCCTCCTAAATGCTCTGCCAAAGAAAAGCTCTTTTAGTAAAGAAATTAGTTTTCCTACTTGGAAACCAGATCTTCAAATCTTATTTTTATTTAATAAGCAACATATCAGTTGCTTATTACAATGATATGTTGTTGATATATATAACAATACATATGTTGTTTATAATGACCATAATTTTACCTTACAGAAAAACCACAAACATGTCTTTTCCCACGTTTTGTGGACATTATTTTTCTTACAAACAGTACCTTTACCTACTTCCAAAAAATGGCTTGCAGTAAGAGCTTTGAGTAGAGTTCTTCCTAACAGTGATACATAAGGTTCATGATTTCATAAGAGATTGCAAATTTTTCCAACCTGGAGACCCTAAACAGAAGGAGTTTGGGGTTATCGTGCTGATGTGGCAGAATGATTACCTCTGGTTATTTCTGTGTCATTCTATGTGTTCAGTGACGTGGGGTTGTGGCTCTATGGGCAGAATTCAGAGATCCAGGAACCTGAATCAGAAATGAATCACAGCTTTATTTTCACTGATCTCTGATAGCATTTCTTTTCTTTTTTTAATGTTGGCAGCAAAACAAGTACCTGACTTTGTCAATAACCAAAATTGCACATTTTTCATATCACATTACAGTGGTCACAGTATCTAGAAAGATCATTTTCATTCTTTACTACTTCAAGACCACAATGGATATAAGGCCTGCCACTTGATCATTTTATCTAATGAGTTAATAAATACATATGTTACTGTATCACAAATTTGATTTTTACAGTTTTGATAACCGTGTTTCAATATAATTATTTCTCTTTGTAGTCCTATGTATTTTATTTTATGCATTTAAAATATTAATCACAGAGAAAGTCCGGATTTCACCAGACTATCAGAGGGGTCCATAGCACAAAAACTGCTAAAAATCCCTGAGACAGGCCAGGCGCAGTGGCTCACACCTGTAATCCCAGCACTTTGGGAGGCCAAGGAGGGCAGATTACAAGGTCGGGAGTTCAAGATCAGCCTGGCCAACATGGTGAAACCTCATCTCTACTAAAAATACAAAAAGTTAGCCGGGCATGGTGTCACACACCTGTAATCCCAGCTGTTCGGGAGCCTGAGGTGGGAGAATTCCTTGAACCCAGAAGGTGGAGGTTGCAGTGGGCCGAGATTGCACCACTGCACTCCAGCCTGGGCAACAGAGCAAGACTCCATCCTGAAAAAGAAAAAATCCTTGAGACAAAACTAAAGGAAAAGAATTATAGATGGCAGTAAAAAACATAAACCTACGTGGCAAAAACAAAACAAAAACTTGTAGACAAAATTAAAAGCTCACTAAAAACTGGGCAATACATTTGTAGTATCTATTGCAAAAAGTTAAAAATCTAGAGGTGTGCAAAGCACTCAAGGGCAAATTTTTTAAATATAATTAACCAATAGAAAAATGGAGAAAAAAATGGATGAGAAATTCATAAAATATAAAATTAATCGTTATGTGTGAAAAAACAAAGTTCAATCTCACTATTTAAGCATAAATTAAAGCAACAGGGATATGACATTCTTCACCCATTAAATTGAAAATATTTGAAAATGTGTTAACTCTCATTACTATAATGAAGATGGCAAAGTAATACACACTTGTATGAATTTGGTAATAATGCAAATTTTGTAAGCTTTCTGAAGGGTAATTTGTAAATTCATATTAAAAAACCATTAAAATATGCAAACCTATTGCCCTAGTCATTTTGCTTCTGGGAGTTTATTCTAAGAAAATAACCAGAGACATGAACAAAAGTTATTTTAAAGAAAACTCAAACCAACTTTATAAGGACGAATAATGGAAACAAATAGAATTAATTTTACATAAATTATTCATCTATATAATTAAATACAATGCACCTATTAAAATTAGATTAAGAAAATTAGAAAATGATCAAGTAACATTAAGTGGAAACTCTGATTTTTTAAAAGGTGTATCTGGAATGTGATCCCAATCTATGTGGATATGTACACACTGTCAGGAAGACATTAACTAAAATATTAACAGCAGTTATTTTTGGATGGTGGAATCACAGTAAATTTTCTTCTTTAGATATTTTCCAAATATTATGCAATTAATAAGTTACTTTTAGGGCTGGGAACTGTGGCTCATGCTTGTAATCCCAGCCCGTTGGGAGGCCGAGGTGGGCTGAACACGAGGTCAAGAGATCGAGACCATCCTGGCCAACATGGTGAAATCCTGTCTCTACTAAAAAATGCAAAAATTAGCTGGGTGTGGTGCGCATCTGTAATCCCAGCTACTCTGGAGTCTGAGTCAAGAGAATCACTTGAAACCAGGAGGCGGAGGTTACTGTGAGCCAAGATCACACCACTGCACTCCAGCCTGGTGACAGAGTGAGACTCTGCCTCAAAAAAAAAAAAAAAAAAAAAGTCACTTTTAGAATCAGAAAAAGGTGAAAGCTACTTTAAATATTAGCCACTTTTACCAAAAATTCACTAAGCAAAATAAACTTGCAAAGAATATTAGGTGTCTAAGGCAGGATCTGAGTTCCCTTGACCAACATTGAGAGCCAACTAGCTATTCTTCTCTTGCCCCTCAAAGATCAACATGCTGCTTAACTTTCAACTGGGAGAGAACTGCCCCTGCCCAGAGGAGATTCGGGAGGAGCTGTATGACTTCCATGAGGACCTTCTCATTCACTGTGGTGAGCTGCCCAGAGAAAGGCTGTGTCCAAGAAAAGTCTGTTTTTGATTCCTTCATTAGAAAGCTAGTAGGGGCTAGTTATTTTTTTATTTAAAATTGCAATACTGTCTTTTAAGAAGTGACTCTATCCTAACTACTTGTGTCAGAGGGAAGTAACCCTGGCAGAATATATTACCAAAATGTGTTCTGCCTAGAAGAGCCTTTGCTGAGATACAGAGAGGAAACAGGGTTTCTAGCAAAAGAATGAAGATAACTGATCCTTATATAAACCTCACCTAATTTATTTAAATTAGTTGGGACTCTCAGCTTCCAGGTGAGACAAGATTCTGATCACTTTGCTTTTTAGCTATTGAGAGAGAAAGAGAGAGAGAGAGCGAGACTGTGTGTGTGTGTGTGTGTGTGTGTGTGTGTGTGTGTGTGTGTGTGTTTAATAACTTCTCCCCTTAAGGCTTCTCAGCCAGCAGTCTCTACTTGGATACATACCTACTGGTTTTAAGTGGTTCTCGGCATTTGTGCTGCTTGTACGTGGGTAGGTTGAATAAAATATGGGTAATTGTGGGTAATTGACAAGTTTTTCATTTGAAATAACTCGATGTTAACTCCTTCTACAGACTCTAGGGCTACGTCCCGCAAACATTCTTCCAGAGGTTTCAGCACTGTAAGAGTGTATGCAATCTAGACCCCATATACTCTTACGGAGGTTTTGGGGAATAAAGATTCAAAAAACTTGTTTCAGGATTAAACTTACTTGATGTTTTCATAGACAGGAAATCACTCATTTGATTTAAAAAAAAAACTTTCAAAAGCTGTAACATAGGTAAATATTGACAAGAGGTTGCCTGTAGACTCTTTAGAAAGTTGCAGAAGGATGGGAAGCCGTTTTTTAAATGTTCTTTCTGATATCGTGATGTTTTCATGTACTGCTTTAAATTTTCACTCTGTTCTATGGCTTGCTAGGGGTTCCTTTGGAAGAAGAGAAAGAGGAGGAGGAGGACACCTCCTGGACAGGAAAACTCCGTGCCTTGGTTTACAAAATCAAAGGCCCACCCAGTCCAGTGAAGGAGCAGCCGACAGAGGAGGAGGAGAGATGCCCCAGTAAGTGACATTGCCTTTTAATGACAGTATTCCCAACACTGTGCTCCTCTAAGACTTCATTAAAGTAACATTTTTTTTTCTTAACAAATACCGTAAGATAGATGTGGGCTGCTTCACTTCAAAAAAATGCATCTGGGCAGTATTTGGTAATTGCTGGTAGTTCTGTTATGCATTTTGGGTTCTGCCTTTTTTCTGATTGAAGAAACTTACTTTCAGACTGTTCTGAAACCTGAGGTGAATTGCTTGGTGTCTGTTCGTGCTGTCTTGTTCTACTTAGAGGTGCCTGTAAATACATTCCTGTTCTTCTTTTATGTTTTCATAGTCTTCCTCTTTAGAGCATTATTGATTCTTAACCACCATTATTTCTATCACTTCCATTTGTGCTTCCTTAGCATTGAAAATTGCCCCCAGCAAGAAAATAAAATAATCATAAAAGAGAGTTTGTAATGAAAATAGGATATGAGTTTGGGGGGGTAGTTTTGGGATTTGGAGTATGATTTTTTTAAATGCAGCATACTAGAGACTTTAACTTCCTGTTTTTCAACAATGCCAAGCTTTGTCCAGATTTTCCTCTCTAATCCTTATACTATGGATGACTCCTACCATTTTGACCCATGATGAAACAAGATTATAACTTGTTTTGCCGGGCTGTTAGAATGTCTCTAAGACATGAAATTTTAAGAGGAAGATTGAGTATTATATATAATCAGTCTGCTCCTTGGTACAGAGTCAGCAAATTTATCATTTGTCTAAAGCAGAAGGAATTTCCCAGGTTTAATATAGTTGCTTTGTTTTTGTTTCCTATTCCTACCCATCTTGGTACACACTTTCAAATCATAGACTAGAGCAGTCAACTGTCAAGATAGGGTCGGTTTGTCTGAAAACACTACTTTGGGGTTCACACATCTCACTGCCCTTTCTATCAACCTTTCGTCTTTGTCACAATATCTCCGAAGGGAGCAAATCTCACCATTTGTCAGCTTAAGTGTTGAAACCTCTGGAAGAATATATGGAGGACTTGGCACTGGCAACCCTTGGTAGCTCCATCCATCACTCTGGAAAGGGTGAGTCTTTTGTGAGGCTGTGCCAGCAGGATTCTATGGCCACAAAAATGTGAGTTTAGACTCCCTTTGTGGTTACTGCCAAAGGAGAACTGCAAATAGGCTGAGTTACCCCAAATGTCTCCTATATCACCTGCTCAGAATCTATTTTGAAAGTAGATGCTTCCTTCCAGCCTTCTTTCTTCCTTTTTATTTCCTGAGACAGAGTCTTGCTCTCTTGCCCAGGCTGGAGTACAGTGGTATAATCTCCGCTCACTGCAACCTCCACCTCATGGGTTCAGGCAATTCTTCTGCTTCAGTCTCCCAAGTAGCTGGGATTACAGGCATGTGCCACCATGTCTGACTAATTTTTTTTTTTTTTGAGACAAAGTCTCACTCTGTCACCCAGGCTGGAGTGCAGTGGCACAATCTTGGCTCACTGCAACCTCCATCTCCCAGGTTCAAGCAGTTCTTCTGCCTCAGCCTCCCTAGTAGCTGGGACTACAGGCATATGCCATCACACCCAGCTAATTTTTTGTATTTTTAGTAGAGGAGTTTCACCGTGTTAGCCGGGATGGTCTCGAACTCCTGATCTCAAGCAGTCTGCCCGCCTTGGCCTCCCAAAGTGCTGGGATTACAAGCGTGAGACACCGCAGCCAGCCCTTTCCCACCTTCTTTCTAACAGAGAGTATGTCATGGCTGGGGGTCCTACCAGGTGACCATTTCATGTGAGGTAGGAGCAGTCATATGAAGTCACTTGTCATCTGCCTCTGTGAAGCCTCCCCTTACGTCTGTGAGTGGTGTTCAGGCACCAAGGATTACAATCTGCAGCACCCCTACCTCAGGCAGAGAGACCACATCCTGTCTGTCTTAGCAAAACATGCACACCTGAGAGGCCAGCCCATGATGAGACTGTATACCTTCATGTCATGCTGCTTCCCTTCCACAGGAGGAGTTGTGAGAGGTTCATGCTTCATGTCATAAGTGCTCTATCCTGGGATCCCAGAAATAGAGGAAATGGTCAAGGTGGTCAGGCATGTTTGGCTTCTTTGCTTAATGTTCCAGAGACGATGAATCCCCTCGCTCAAGTCTGACGTTTTAAGATAATTTCTAGAGGGTGGTTTAACCACCACCTCCCCCATAAATTGTTTTTAATATGATCAGATGGAGACAAGGTTTCTGATTGCAGAACCAGACGCGTTAAAGGGTCAAAATCCCTTAAATTATTGGTAACTTTGTTCATGTTATTGCTTATCTGGTTTCTATTACCCTTGCATTTGATAAAATAATAAAAGTGTAGGTAGCGTTAGAAACATTCTACAATGAATTGGCAGTTTACCGAGTACTTCCACACATACTCACTTACTGCTGTTAGTTTTCTACACTCCTCCATTGTATAGTTGGGGGAATTAGGACTCAGAAAAATTAAGGGGTACTTGTTTATTTTTTCCACCCGTACCTGGTTTCAGAAAAATGTCCAGGTGTCTGATTGTCACCAGCTCAATGTACCTAAAGTGGGTCAAGCTATGGCTTGAAGGCCGGTCTTCTGACTGTTTGTATTGAACTGCACTTTTCCACTGTACCATGAGGAATGGCTTTTTAAAATCACTCTTTTTATCTTGTCTACTACATCTTTGAGATAACTCACTATTGTGACTCAAAATCTGAACCCAGTGGATTTCTGTGTTTTAACATTTAGAAGTTCACCAAACCAAAAATCTGAATGGTTTTCAGATAAGGTGGTGGTGGTCCACCCTGCAGTCCCTCCGCTATGAGCAGTTGAGGTTGGCCAGAAGACCTGCAGAAAAGCCACACTTTTCTAGGAAAGAGAGGGGAACTGTGTCCTGAAACTCACATCCTGAAATCTGCTAGCTGGCTCAGTGTTAAAGGGATTTGGCTAAATTAACTCCAAACCATATTATTAGTGAAAGCTGTCACAATATTATTGAAGGATCAAATGATAATGAACAAGTGAAAAAATATAGCAACATTAGCCACTGTTCTAAATTACTGTTTTTTCTTTTTCATATCTCCATTCAGAAAATTCCTTAGAAAATTTTTTGCCTATTCGTTTTGGCCAGTACTTCTCCAACACAGCAGTTTAAGCAGCGTTTCCTTGAATGTAAATATATAGGCACTGAATTATTCTCCCAGAAGAGGCTAACCAGTTATTTCTGCTAAATTTTGAAATTAACAAAATTAATCTGTCAAATTTTGCAGATTAAAATTTGGTGCTTTGGCCGGGCGCGGTGGCTCAAGCCTGTAATCCCAGCACTGTGGGAGGCCGAGGCGGGTGAATCACGAGGTCAAGAGATCGAGACCATCCTGGTCAACATGGTGAAACCCCGTCTCTACTAAAACTACAAAAAATTAGCTGGGCGTGGTGGCACGTGCCTGTAATCCCAGCGACTCAGGAGGCTGGGGCAGGAGAATTGTCTGAACCCGGGAGGCGGAGGTTGCGGTGAGCCGAGATCGCGCCATTGCACTCCAGCCTGGGTAACAAGAGCGAAACTCCGTCTCAAAAAAAAAAAAAATTTGGTGCTTTGTTGATCTCTGCCACCTGTTGAATGCTTCCCCCAAGAGAGAAGGAAGCTCCCTGCCGGCATCTTGTCTCTATGCTTAGAGGCCTCATGATGACCTATTGCAGTTCAGCTTTGGGTGGCATTGGTTAAGAACTGAGTTGCAGGTGATTATGGTTGAGTCTATCTGAAGGAGGTGAACATTCGTCTTCTGTCTTTAGCCCTGTGCTAAAGGTAACACAGAATGTTACCTCTCAGAGAGCTGAGTTGGCACTCTTAACCTTGAATGGCACCTGCTCTCCCCTGCCACTCTTCTAATGAAGACCAGAACTGGAGGTGACCTTGGACCTGTCAAGCCCCAAAGCCCCTACGTGTGTTAGCTCTTGCCTGTTCACTGAACGACCTGAGAGCCTTACACCAAAATTCTCTCCCAGCTAAATGCTGCAATGTGTTTAGTGCTGAGAAGAAGAAAACATCTACACAAAATCAGTCCTAGGCCCTCAACACAAATGCTGACATGCAAAGATAACTTAGTAGTAAGTACATCTGCAGAGCTCAGGCATATTTCTAAGCCTCTTCTCTAAATCCTCTTCCAAGAGCCTCTCCCTAAATGCACACAAACACCTTCTCCATGAAGTCTTTCGAATTCATTCTCCTTTCCTCTACCCCTTCCATATTGTGGAATTTCTAATAGTGTATGTGTGACTTTCCACCTCATGTGAGGTATTTGATTATCTGGTGGTTTTCCTCACTGGGTCTTAATGCAGGGAACATGTCGTACTTGTCTCTACACTCTGCTCAGTCGCACAAATCTTTTTGGCATCCAACTGAATATTGGTCACTTGGGGCTCATAAAAATGAAGAAAACAGGGGCCTTACAGAAAAAGGAGGAAATGGGTATGGCTAGGCAACTCAAAATGATCATGAGGTTGGATGTGTTGGAATAAAAGTACAGAAAACATACAGTAGGTGGGCAGAGGAGGGGTCTGGGAAAGCGTCCGTAAAGAATGTAGATGGATGGATAAAATAAGAAGGATAAGACATTTGTAATGGAAAAAATAAAAAGCTGCTTCAACAAAGTCCCAGGGGCAGGAACGTTCATGTCATATATAGGAGTGGCAACAAGTTGAGACTGGCTAAATTATAAAAAGAATAGAATGGGTCAGAATGAAAACAAACAAAAAAAATTAAAGTGGTGTTAGAATATAGAAGATCTTTCCAGCAGCTAAACTGTATTTAAACTGTCTGCAGGCTTAGGGTGTTACTCTTTGTTATACCCGTGTGTTTTATAACACTTGGCCTCCCAGCTGTGGGGAGGGAGGGACTAACACTTACATGGTACCACTTTGTCCTGAGCATGATCCTGAGTGCTTCCATAAATATTACCCCATGTAATTCTCATGAGAACAGTCTGCAATACACAATTTTTTTTCTATTTTAC